CTTGAAAGAAACCTTATGTTAACCCGTTATCTTGTGTGGAAACCTTAAGTTAACCTTAAGGAAACATTAAGTTAAGCTGTTATCTTGAAAGAAACCTTAAGTTAACCTGTTATCTTGAAGGAAACCTTAAGTTAACCTGTTATTTTGTAGGGAAACCTTAAGTTAACCCGTTATCTTGTGTGAAAACCTTAAGTTAACCTTAAGGAAACCTTAAGTGTTATCTTGAAGAACCTAAGTTATGTTATTTGTGGAAACCTTAAGAACGTTATCTTGAAAGAAACCTTAAGTTAACCTGTTATCTTTCGTGGAAACCTTAAGTTAACCTGTTATCTTGTGTAGAAACCTAAAGTTAACCTGTTATCTTGCTAGTGCGTTATCCTTAATAACATTTCCTGGAACTTGTTATATCAATATTCATTTTCTTTACAAAATATAGCGAGGAAGTCAGCCTTTACCTCCAGGAAAAAAAGTAATCAACAATGTTTTAGTCATAATAAAGTTTGATCCGAGGTGAAGGAGCTCAATAAACACAATGCAACGGCCGCTCCATGCCACAGATTAATAAGTTAAAATTTTGCGTGAAAAATTTTGAGCAAAATAAAAGTATATATATATATATATATAATATATATATATATATATATATATATATATATATATATATATATATATATATATATATATATAAACTGCAGGAGGGTCGGATCTATTGATTGATGTGGTCAGTGATGTGGGTGTGGGTGCGGATGCGAGGGCGTGGCTCTTGACAGGTGTGGGTGGACAAAACAAGGGGCGTGGATTAAGTGCATGTGGGTGTGGGTGTGTGGGTGCGGATTGCGAGGGCGTGCTCTTGACAGGATGTGGGTGGACAAAACAAGGGGCGTGGATTAAGTGCATGTGGGTGTGGGTGTGGGTGCGGATGCGAGGGCGTGGCTCTTGACAGGTGTGGGTGGACAAAACAAGGGGCGTGGATTAAGTGCATGTGGGTGTGGGGTGTGAGGAGTGGAGTGTGCGGAGTGGGGTACGAGGAGTGGGATTTAAGGAGTGTGGTGTGAGGTGTGGGATCTAAGGAGTGGGATGTGAGGAGTGGTATCTATGAGTGGGATACCTCGAGTGAGAGGGACCCGGACGTGCTGGTCAAAGACTGGAAGTAGTTCAGCATTTTTTTTTTTCCATTTTAATCGTCAGGAAAAAAATACTTGACACCTTTCTTTGTACCATGATGACCCGTCCAGTGTTGCTGCTGGCACTGCGATGACCGGTCCAGTGTTGTTGCTGGCACTGTGATGACCCGTCCAGTGTTGCTGCTGGCACTGTGATGACCCGTCCAGTGTTGTTGCTGGCACTGTGATGACCCGTCCAGTGTTGTTGCTGGCACTGTCATGACCCGTCCAGTGTTGTTGCTGGCACTGTCATGACCCGTCCAGTGTTGTTGCTGGCACTGTGATGACCCGTCCAGTGTTGTTGCTGGCACTCTGATGACCCGTCCAGTGTTGTTGCTGGCGCTGTGATGACCCGTCCAGTGTTGTTGCTGGCGCTGTGATGACCCGTCCAGTGTTGTTGCTGGCACTGTGATGACCCGTCCAGTGTTGTTGCTGGCACTGTGATGACCCGTCCAGTGTTGTTGCTTGCACTGTGATGGCCCGTCCAGTGTTGTTGCTTGCACTCTGATGACCCGTCCAGTGTTGTTGCTTGCACTCTGATGACCCGTCCAGTGTTGCTGCTTGCACTCTGATGACCCGTTCAGTGTTGTTGCTGGCACTGTGATGACCCGTCCAGTGTTGTTGCTGGCACTGTGATGACCCGTCCAGTGTTGTTGCTGGCACTGTGATGACCCGTCCAGTGTTGTTGCTGGCACTGTGATGACCCATCCAGTGTTGTTGCTGGCGCTGTGATGACCCGTCCAGTGTTGTTGCTGGCACTGTGATGACCCGTCCAGTGTTGTTGCTGGCACTGCGATGACCGGTCCAGTGTTGTTGCTGGCACTGTGATGACCCGTCCAGTGTTGTTGCTGGCACTGTGATGACCCGTCCAGTGTTGTTGCTGGCACTGTGATGACCCGTCCAGTGTTGGTGCTGGCAATGTGGTGAATCACAACAGTTGTTGCTGGTACTGTGGTAAACCACAACAGTTGTTGCTGGCACTGTGGTGAACCACAGCAGTTGTTGCTGGCACTGTGGTGAACCACAGCGGTTGTTGCTGGCATGTTGAGAAATGGCATTACCAGCTAAGTTTAAAGAGTTTGTACATTACTTGAGGAATATGATAGACCTCATCGCCTGCACAGCCGCCCCTGCAGACGAGGTCTTGAGAAGCTGTCGAAGTCATCTCTCAACGGGCTGTAAATGAGTTATAATTTGTAAGATTATAAATTACCCCTAGGGGGTGTTATGTCAGCATATTTCATTCACTGATTGCTGACAAACTTACTTGTGTGGACTCAAAGGTCCGCCCCTAACTGCCGACTATAGGTTGATTACAAACTCCTTGACGATCAAGAATGCGCAGTCCCCTGTACTACAAGAAATTCGTAACCTACCTTGCTCTTGTAGCGTGATCTATGGTGTTCTTCACACCTTCGACAGGTATCGGTGACTTGATAGAAGCTGAAGTGTCCTTGGATGTCCACGTCTTCCATAGTCTAGGAATACGCACACTGGTACACTATGTTCCACAAGATTTGTCTTTATTGTTCACAATCTTATCACTAAAGAAGCTGATCACACTTCTCTTAAGTGTTTATTGTGTTTTATGAGACACTTTGTTCACACTAACGCGCAGATCGTTCTTTGTTGGTTATCCTGGCGTCAGTGTCACTCTCAGTACAGTCAAAAGTAATCTGAAGACGCCACAACGCCCCACGCCATCACTGCCCCCAGCGACTCAAGAACTGCGCAGTCCCCTGTACTACAAGAAATTCGTAACCTACCTTGCTCTTGTAGCGTGAGCTATGGTGTTCTTCACACCTTCGACAGGTATCGGTGACTTGATAGAAGCTGAAGTGTCCTTGGATGTCCACGTCTTCCATAGTCTAGGAATACGCACACTGGTACACTATGTTCCACAAGATTTGTCTTTATTGTTCACAATCTTATCACTAAAGAAGCTGATCACACTTCTCTTAAGTGTTTATTGTGTTTTATGAGACACTTTGTTCACACTAACGCACAGATCGTTCTTTGTTGGTTATCCTGGCATCAGTGTCACTCTCAGTACAGTCAAAAGTAATCTGAAGACGCCACAACGCCCCACGCCATCACTGCCCCCAGCACAAAGGAAAAGCTGACCTAGTACTTTTTGCTTCCTTGCCACTTCCTCCATGAAGCAAAGCAGAATGTTTGATTCTTGCTGTCTTAAGCATAGACAACAATGTACACTATCTTTACTATGGTAATAAAGTGGGAGCCGGATTTCCCTTAATTGTCCTGCTAAGGTAAGAGATGTACTGTTTCTTATTAAAATACACTCTGCAACACTGGACTGCAAGGAGCGGCGGTCGCTTGACCACATCACATACTCGTACTGCATCTGCGATCAATTACTCACTGTAGCAGTAAACAAGACGCTTGCCCCTTCTGAGAGGGCTGGGCCCCTCAGGGCTGAAAGGGGCTGATACCCCCCTCCTGGAGAAAATTTCTCCACATGGCACTTTGACTCGCCAGTTGGTCAAATACTAAGTAAAAATATGTAAAATGCACTGATCTATTGCAGTAATAATGCTAAATAAATCAAATATCTGAAAAATGTTAACCTAGACAATAGAAGAGAAAGAGTAAGGACATTTCTCGTCTGTAAAAACGAGTTCATTAACCTTGTTAGAGTTGATAGAGGAGAGAGGCGACGCTGCCTGCTCCTCCCAATGACTGTGTTTGGCTCTTCAAGTTATAGTCTACTATATTATGCACCCCATAACCGTCTTGTGGGCGGTAGTCAAGAAGATCAGAGGTATATAATGGATCCAGGGACTGCGCTGGAAAGTTTTGATAGTTGAACAAGTTACTAAGGTAATGAACCATTCACACGTCTACACCTGGTCGTAAAGGAAGAGTTAAACATCTGTTTCTTTTATTGTCACCTCTGACACAACGAGACGCCAGGTCAGACTTTGTTGGGTGCTGTGTATGTGAGTCTCATTGTATAGAGTTAGAAGTGGAATTGTCTTCCTTACACCATCTCCCTCCCCAGCTCTCTCTCTCTATCTCTCTCTCTCTCTCTCTCTCTCTCTCTCTCTCTCTCTCTCTCTCTCTCTCTCTCTCTCTCTCTGTCTCACTCAACAGTTTTCTGTGGAGTCATCTACTGTTGTGCTATGGGGTTACGTACTGTTAAACCTACGTAATGCATGCTTTATGTGTGTGTAACATGTGTGTGCCGTCAAGATCAGTGTGATAACCTTGTATATTATGTATCCAGGCTTAAATAAAAGCTAATCAAATAACCATATGTCTCTGTAATTAATGTTTTGCCATAGGTAGCAAAGGGTCCCATCCACCCACAGGAAGGATATGGGGGTGTCTACCTTCCACAGGAAGGATATGGGATGCCTACCACCCACAGGAAGGATATGGGGTGTCTACCGTCCACAGGAAGGATATGGGATGCCTACCACCCACAGGAAGGATATGGGGTGCCTACCGTCCACAGGAAGGATATGGGATGTCTACCGTCCACAGGAAGGATATGGGGTGTCTACCACCCACAGGAAGGATATGGGGTGCCTACCACCCACAGGAAGGATATGGGATGTCTACCGTCCACAGGAAGGATATGGGATGCCTACCACCCACAGGAAGGATATGGGGTGTCTACCGTCCACAGGAAGGATATGGGATGCCTACCACCCACAGGAAGGATATGGGGTGCCTACCGTCCACAGGAAGGATATGGGATGTCTACCGTCCACAGGAAGGATATGGGGTGTCTACCACCCACAGGAAGGATATGAGGTGCCTACCGTCCACAGGAAGGATATGGGGTACATAATAAAGATCTCAATCCAACAGGTTGACAATGGTGGTGACACTACGGGTGAGGCTGCAGGAGACTGCTACACTGCTCCTGTACCAGCAGGAGAACACTTCCGTCTGTACCCTACACCCGGAGGCCCAGGAGTACATCAGAGAGTGGAACACCTATACCCAGGTAACACACACACACACACACACCACACACCACACACACACACACACACACACACACACACACACACACACACACACACACACACACACACACACACAACAAACAAACAAACACACACACCAGAAACTAATTAACTTAAATCAAGTTAGCTAATACCCTTGCACAAGGACATAACACACAAACACAAGTTCCTGTCATCAATGTACAAGTTTAATTCTTCTTTAAAACGAGTAATTTTAATGTCACTAAGTTCCAGGGCTGTTATAGTGCATGATCAGAAACAAAATATAACTGTAGGAGATATTAAAATTTTTTTTGTTTACCTCTGCCCATTAGTGGTCTAGATTATTATTATTATAATCAAAAAGAAGCGCTAAGCCATAGTGGTCGAGAGTGACCTGACTTTCACCCTGACAGAAGCTTGGGGGTCAGACTGTGAGGACAAGAGAGGTCACCTCTCAGACCTTACTGAAGTACAACGTCGACAAGACCACTCAGAAGTCAGCTGTGCAGTTTAAGGTTGGTTGGTTTATTAGGTTTAACACCTGTCGACTACACGAGGGTCATTAAGGTTACATGTCACCTGTTGACCACTAGTCAAGAATACTTTAATATCTAAAATAGGGTTTGAGGTGAACTCTCAGTGTATATACACCGAGACACACACACCTCTCAGTGTATATACACTGAGACACACACGCCTATCACTGTAAATATTCTTAAGAATGTAACTATGTAACATTTTGAGAAATAAAATTATGGACTAAAAGTAATTCTGATTTTTGGTGGGGCTTTGATGTGGATTTTTTACGATATTAGTGATAAGAAAAGTAACGTAATGGTCAGTAAGTCCTCAAGACCATTGAAAAATATATAAATTTCATTAAAAAAAACTAGATTAAAAATTTATTTGACTTTCAAAAAGCAGACTTTGTACACGAGTTGTGGCGGGAAAATTGTGGCGGGAAGGTTGTGGCGGGAAAATTGTGGCGGGAAAGTTGTGGCGGGAACGTTGTGTTGGGAAAATTGTGGTGGGAAGGTTGGCAGGAAAGTTGTGGCGTGAAGTTTTGTAGGCGGGAAAATTGTGTGGAAGTTAGTTGGCAGGAAGGTTGTGCGGGAAAATTGTGGTGGGAAGGTTGTGGCGGAAAGGTTGTGGCGGGAATTGTGGGGAATTGTGGCGGGAAGGTTGTGGCGGGAAGGTTGTGGCGGAATTGGGCGGAAAATTGTGGCGGGAAGGTTGTGGGATTGTGCGGAGAATTGGGGGAAGGTTGTGGCGGGAATTTGTGGTGGGAAGGTTGTGGCAGGAAGGTTGTGGCGGAGAAATTGTGGCGGGAAGGTTATGGCGGAAGGTTGTGGCGAGAAAATTGTGGCAGGGGAAGGTTGTGGCAGGAATGGTTGTAGTGGGAAGGTCGTGGTGGGAAGATTGTGGCGGGAAGGTTTGGCAGGAAGGTTGTGGCGGAGAAAATTGTGGCGGGAAGGTTGTGGCAGAAGGTTGTGGCGGGAAGGTTGGGGCGGGAAGGATTGTGGGGAAGGTTGTGGCAGGAAGGTTGTGGGGGAAAATTGTGGCGGGAAGGTTGTGGCAAGAAGGTTGTGGCGGGAAGGTTGTGGCGGGAAGTTGTGGCGAGGTGAAGTGTTGTTGGCGGAAAGGTTGTTGTGGCGGGAAGGTTGTGGCGGAAGGTGGAAGGTTGTGGCGGGAAGGTTGTGGCGGAAGTTGTGGGGGAAGGTTGTGGCAGGAAGGTTGTGCGGAATTGTGGCAGGATAGGTTGTGGCAGATGCGTGTGGGAAGGTTGTGATGGGAAGGTTGTGGCAGGAAGGTTGTGGCGGAAGGTTATGGCAGGAAGTTGTGGCAGGAAGGTTGTGGGGGAAGGTTGTAGCATGAAGGTTGTGGCGGGAAGGTTGTGGCGGGAAGGTTGTGGCGGGAAGGTTGTGGCAGGAAGGTTGTGGCAGGAAGGTTGTGGCGGGAAGGTTGTGGTGGGGAAAATTGTGGGGGGAAGGTTGTGGCGGGAAGGTTGTGGCGGGAAGGTTGTGGCAGGAAGGTTGTGGCAGGAAGGTTGTGGCGGGAAGGTTGTGGCAGGAAGGTTGTGGTAGGAAGGTTGTGGCGGGAAGGTTGTGGTGGGAAGATTGTGGCAGGAAGGTTGTGGCGGGAAGGTTGTGGCGGGAAGGTTGCCCAGCAGCGGCAGCGGGCGGCAGCGGCAACAGGAACCTTGTTCTCTATTTTTACTTCTACCTGAGGTTCCCAGCAGCCCAGTGATGACCTAATCAAGACCCACATAACACTAACATGTGTGGATACCCAGAATGATATAAATCAACTGCAGAAATCACCCAAAAGTTCACAAATTACCAACTAATAGGACTCGTACTACCACGTCCTACCCCACTGCCACTGAAGTGATACTCCACAACATTCACCCATCGCCTATTATTCACCTGAAGCCACAGCCAATGGACAAGGGTCAGAGCAATAAAAGAAGATCCAATAACCAGCTAAGGACTCCTAACTTTCAAAGGTGAGAGCAGTAATAACACGAGGAAAACTTGTGGTACTGCCAGCCAGGACACAACCCTCATCACCCACCGGCATCACCACAACACACGACAGACAACAACAAACATGGCCGCTGTCACAGTCCAAGATAACTCCTTCCCAGTATTTGATGTCAAGAAGATCACCGACCCAGAAATAGCTAAACTCCTTACGATTCAGAACCAAACGATCACCAAACTAACTCAAGAAATGCAGGAACTAAAAGCTAGCAATGCAGATTACCTCAACAAGATCACTGCTCTAGAACATAAACTAGACACTCTGGAACAACAAAGCAACACCCACACCCAGTCCCTAGACACCATCCACACTCTAAAAGACCAAGTCACCCTACTTACTACCAACATTACAGAGGAAAGATCAAGAGTGGACCAACAACTTGCCAATGTCATAACCAACTTCCAAGACCATAATGACCAACAGCAGCTATCTGACGCTGTTGTAGTTAACAGCAAACATCTCCCACCCACAGTCACCCAAGAGACCTGCATGGAGACCACCCTGCAGCTTATCAAGGACCACCTTCGCCTTAACATACGTAGTGATGACCTAAAGGATTGCAAACTGATGGGCTACCAAGCAGGTAAAAAAACAGTGCTGTTAAAATTCCAAACTAGCCTACAAAGAAACAACCTACTAAAACATCTATTTCTATGAAAACTGATGTTTACGTCAATGAGTGCCTTACCAAAATAAGACAAAACCTTCTTTATCGGCTAAGAAAATTACGCTATGCCCAAAAAATCCACCAGTGCTTTGTGAGGAATGGAAAAATCGCAGTTAGGAAACAGCCCACTGGGAAGAGATACTTCATCTCTACAGAACATGACCTTAAAACATTCCTAAGTGAGGCTGGACTAACAGAATCAGAGTAAAGTGCAGATAATACCCACAGTCCACAGTTAGTGTTATATTGTCATAAATTTGTGCCCCCCTAAAATTCTAATACCCCAACTACTTTTGATTGTCATTGTTGTATTCAACGACCATTCTACCTCATAGTCTTAATTTGTTTAATATCTACAGAATCTATCTCCTTTTTTTTACAACTTACCGCATCACTGTTCCATCTTATTTTATTATAAACTAACCATAACTTGTCCTCAATATTCTACCTCACTTTAAGAAATACTCAATTGCTCAATTTTATTCTAAAATCCCTATTATTGCCCAATTTTGCTTTAAACTATATTGATCAAACTTATTGTAAACTTCTTTTATTGACCATTTTATTCTATACTTTTTTAAACTAGTATTTTCAACTACAACTTTTATACTATCCTGTCTACCATCTTACTAGCATATTATAACCAAGTCATTGCCATTTTTATTTTTATCATTTTTTTTATTATTCTTTTGCTACCTTAACTTGCGTATTTTGTCCTGTCAATTTAAATCTAGTTATACTCTAATTCTTGTAAACAACTTATATAAGACCTTAGTGCAATTACAATTGAGAGTTTGTGCCTTTTTTTATATTATTAGATTAAAACTCAGTTGTACTATAGTCAATACCAATTCATTATATTAGACCATAGTGCAATTACTAGTGAGAGACTGGTGCTATTTTTAATTTGTATTTTTTTTTATTAGATTTTAAATCTAGTTGTACTATAGCTCATTCTAGCTCAAAACATAGACTTCACAAAAGTCATTATATTAGACCTTAGTGCAATTACAAGTGAGAGTCTTGTTCTATTTTAAATTTGTATTTTTATATTACTAGTTTATACCTAGTTGTACTTTAGTTCATTCCAGCACAACACATAGACAACATTAACTTCATTATGTGTAGTAGTGACTATACTCTATATGACCAAAATACTCTAGCTATATACTTATCCAAGCTTCCCACCACTACAGATATCAGTACTAGAACTCAACACACAACTCAGGATATAAATAACCATAATTTAAACCTTGAAGATGATTGATCACGTTGACCCTGATCTAAACCTCCATAATCTGACACCTAATCAAAACCTATTGGAAAGTAACTGCCTTTATTACACAGCATCACAAGCCAGCACTATCCTAAACAATGCTAAAAGTCTATCAGTACTTAACTACAACATCAGGTCCTTAAGCAAACACTATGATGACCTCCTGGCACTCCTTGAATCACTAAAGACACCCTTCTCCTGCATTATTCTTACTGAGACCTGGCTTAAGCAGGACACAATAGATATCTACCCCTACCAGGATACACAGCAATTCACAACTGCAGACCAAACCAAGTTGGGGGGTGGTATTGCAATCTATTACTCTAAAACCCAATTATCTTGTATTAGCACCACTTGCTTTAGTGATGAATATGGGGAATACATTTTTGCTAATTTTACTGTAAAAAACCTTAAGACACCTATAACAATCGGTGCCATTTACCGGATACCTCACACAAAACATCCCAAATTTCAGTGGGGAAATTAAAGTCACTAATAACAAACAGACAAATGAATAAGCACCACCTTCTCTTTTGCTGGAGACTTCAACATCAACCTTGGCTTACTAGATGATCAGCCTGTAACTGATTTCATCAACAATATGAACAACACACTTCTCATACCAACAATAACTAAACCAACCAGGCTCACTGAGACAAGTGCAACCATAATAGACCACATATGGACCAATATACTAGCCCCCCTTAAATCAGGGATAATCACAGATAGCACTACAGACCACTACCCTACCTTCCTCCTGACAAACATTAATAAACCACCACCTGAATACAACAAAGTCTCATTTAGACTCCATGACGAGGCCTCAATAAGGAAGTTCACAGCTGACCTAGAGATTGTTGACTGGCCTACAGAATTCTCCAAGGCCAATGGTTATTGATGACTGGACAGACATTTTTCTTAACAAATTACTTAGACTATACAAAAAACATTGTCCTATAAAAACGAAACAGATCACAAACAAACGGCTTGGTTGCCCATGGCTAACCAGCACCATTCTGAAATCCATTGACAAGAAACACCAATATGAAAAGCAATATAGACAGGGCTTAATACACAAAGATATTCTTAAACACTATTCATCAGTTCTCACCAAAGTAATAAAGAAAGCCAAACAACTATACTTCTCCAGTAGATTCACAGACCCTAGAGGAGATATAAAAAAGACCTGGAAAACATTCTCTCAGATTCTAGGGACCCACAAACTGAAAAAAAAGAATATTGTCCTAACTAAACCTAATGAAACACCACTACATCCCACTGACATAGCTAACAAGATAAACGACTTCTTCTCAACCATAGGATCTAATCTCGCCAATAAAATCCCACATACCAATGCCCATGCCAGGGACTACCTAGATGGGAATTTCCCAAATTCCTTCTATCTTGCACCAACTGAGCCCTCGGAAGTCACCGAGATTATAAAGTCACTTAAAAACAACTCAGGGAATCTGTCTAATGTCCCACCATTACTGTACAAGCGAGCGGCCCATATCCTTTCGCATGCTATTTCATTACTTTTTAACAAGTCACTAGAAAAATAGCACCTTCCCAAAACTACTCAAGATGGCAAGGGTTACACCAATACATAAAGGTGGTGACCCTACAGACTTAAACAACTATAGACCAATATCAAACTTACCATTGCTATCCAAAATCTTTGAGAAACTCGTGCACAGGAGACTATATTCATTTTTTAACAGCACAAAACATACTCAACCCCTGCCAATTTGGTTTTAGGAAAAATGAAAGCACTAATGATGCAATCATAAAAATGCTAGATCTGCTTTACACAGCATTGGAAAATAAGGAATATCCACTAGGAATTTTTATTGACCTAAGAAAAGCTTTTGACACAGTAGACCACGACATCCTACTCCACAAACTTGACCATTACGGTATAAGAGGCCATGCGCTTGCTTATTTCAAATCTTACCTTACTAATAGGTATCAGTATGTTACCATTAAAGACACAGCATCAACAACACGGCCACTTGATACTGGTAGTTCCGCAGGGAAGTGTCCTTGGTCCCTGCTCTTCCTCATATACATCAATGATCTTCCAAAACGTATCCCCAAAGCCTGAAACCCATTCTTTTTGCTGACGACACGACTTATGTCATCTCTCACCCTAATCTTGCCACCCTCAACACCATTGTTAATGAGGAGCTGATTAAAATATCGACTTGGATGACAGCCAATAAACTTACGCTTAACACTGACAAAACCTACTATATTATGTTTGGTAGCAGAGCAGGAGATGCACAAATTAACATTAAGATCGACAACACTCTAATTACCAGACATAATGAGGGCAAATTCCTAGACCTATACCTAGACAACACCCTGAATTTCAGCACCCATATCCAACACATAACCAAAAAAGTATCCAAAACAGTTGAGATCCTCTCCAAGATACGATACTACATGCCGCAAAATGCCCTTCTCACACTATACCACTCATTTATCCATACCTCACCTATGCTATTTGTGCTTGGGGATCAACTGCAGCAACACACCTAAAGCCAATAATAACCCAACAAAAAGCTGCAGTAAGAATGATCACTAAATCCCATCCCTGTCAACACACCTCCCCCACCCTTCATAGATCTAAACTTACTCCCTGTTCAGTACATCCACACTTACTACTGTGCAATCTACATCTACAGGACCTTAAACTCCAATATCAACCTTGACCTAAAACGCTTTCTTGATAGTTGTGACAGAACCCACAGGCATAACACCAGACACAAACATCTCTACGACATTCCCCGTGTCCGACTAAACCTTTACAAAAATTCAGTGTATGTCAAAGGCCCTATAATCTGGAACACCCTACCCGAGAACTCTAGAACTGCAGACACATTCATCGCTTTCAAAACTGCCAATAGAAAACATCTTATCTCCCTGATACACCCCATCAACTAACTACACGAATACCACCTGGTGGTTCACACTTACACTCACTCACCCATTTGACCATAAACAGAAATATTAATCTCAATCTTAAAATAATGAATCCTATGATACTCCAATACTGAAACTATGTACTGTGCCAAAACAAAAGCATTCACATTGCTAAACTCACAAACTAGTATTTAGTCACTTACCCATAATACCAACTTACCTCATAATTTGCAATATTTTAAAATAAAGAATTAAACTAAGTCTGCCCGAAATGCCTAGCCATGCTAGGCGTTCTAGTGGTACACTCTGTAATCATTATTTAACTACATGTAAACCACACAACAACCAAATTCTGTAAATTCAACATTGTAATCTTTATAGAGAATAAACTTTGAATTTGAATTTGAATTTGAATGTGAGTTATTGTGTTGCAGGACACGGGCAGCTGGGCCACGCAGTGGGACATGCACGATGAAGCTGAGAAGATGAAACTGAGGGGTAAATGATACTAGTGGCTTGTGATGGCAGGGTGTGCACTGTACTGCCGTGGGGGGGGAGTACAGCGGTGTGTACAGTGCTACCTCGGAACAACTGCCACGATATTTTATAACAGGAGACAGAAAAATTTAGTTTCCCGTTATTATTATTATTATTATTATTATTATTATTATTATTATTATTATTATTATTATTATTACTGAGTGAACTTAATATTTATGATGAATTTACCATCTTTAATGGGTGTGCGGCGCTCACCTAGCATACCCAAGATATACCCTCCTTGTAAATACCCCTCCCCCTCTTAAGTGGGTGTGCCTTCGTGCAGGTGAAGGACTCTTGATCCAGGGAGTTGGAGCTGTCCCTTCCCACTTGGTGACTGTCTCCCGTTTCCTCAAGTGTTGTAAGGTCAACACTGAGCTGAGCTGCCGGTCACAGCTCAAGCTCTAAGTTTGGTTATACATTTCCCCGAATAAAGCTGATCTAAGCTGAGCTTATTTTCTTCACTCACAGTAGATATATTGTTTCACTATACTGAGTACTTGCTTACAGTGTTCAAACACTGTAAAGTATGTACAGTGAGCCGTATGTGTTATGTGTTTATTGTCAGCACACACTGTAATCACACACCGTCAGGACACATGCCATCGTCACACACCGTCAGTACACACCGTAATCACAGACTCTCAGCACACACACCATCGTCAAACACCGTCAGCACACACACCATCGTCACATACCGTCAGTACTCTTGCTGATATCAGATCACCTCAACACACAGGTCGACCCAGCACCAGGCTGACGGAGAGTATGGCGCGAAGACGATCCCAGCCAGCTCTCTATTTCTACACGGGCGCCAGCACTCCACCTTGTCAGCCAGTGAGTGTCAGCACCTGTTATAGCCCGCTGTCTGTATCCTGTGTATCAGTCTCTCTCTCTCTCTCTCTCTCTCTCTCTCTCTCTCTCTCTCTCTTCTCTATCTCTCCTCTCTCTATCTCTCTCTCTCTCTCTCTCTCTCTCTCTCTCTCTGTCTCTCTCTGTCTCTCTCTCTTTCTCTATCTATCTATCTGTCTGTCTAACTCTCTATCTATTTATTTATCTATCTACCTATCCGTGAGCCTCTCCTTTCTGATGTGTATGGGATAGGCTATCCCGAGAGATGGTAATTCCTAAGTTAGGTTAGGTTGGGTGTGGTAATGTCTGAGGATCTCACTAAGGATCACAACAATGCCACTATCACATCTGCGAGGAAAATGATAAGATGGATAATGAGAACATTCAAGACAAGAGATGCCAAGCCTATGATGATCCTTTCTAAATCACTTGCTCTCTCTAGGCTGGAATACTGCTGTACATTAACATATCCATTCAAGGCAGGTGAAACTGCAGATCTAAAGAATGTACTGAGAACCTTTACTGCATATATAAGTTCCATCAAACACCTTAACTACTGGGAACGTCTGGAAGCACTTGACTTGTACTCACTGGAGCGCAGGCGAGAGAGATATATCATAATCTACACCTGGAAGATCCTGGAGGGACTGGTCCCTAATCTGCACACACAAATCACTCCTACGAAAGCAAAAGACTTCCCAGGGGATGCAATAAATAAACAGGGGGAAAATGGGGCGATTTGGACCTTTGAATAAACAAATTCTTTGGGCCGGGCCTGCTGTTAAAAGGCCCCCGGGCATAAAAAACCCAAAAACCTGGTTGGTTTCCAAAAAAAGGAAAAAGCTGGACAGATACCCTAAAGTAGGGGGCCACCCTGATTCCAAATTTGGTTGGGGCCCAAATTTTACAGCCCCCTTTGTGGGGTCAGCCCCGGGCCGGGGGGCGGGGCGAACCTTTTCGGTGGGAAGGGGGGTTTTGGTAAATTTTTTAAACAAAAATTTTTTTAGGGTATTACTTATAGGGCCCCGGGGAGTTTACCCTGGAAAGATTTTGGTTAAAAGGGAGGGAAAGGTAAAGGGGTTCTAGGGGGTTTATTTTGGGGCCCTTAGGGTGGGGAGATTATGGTACCATGGGTGTGGGGTGAATTTTTGGGGGTAGGATTTTTGGGGGTGGGTTTTATGTTATTTTTGTTAAAACCCTTTTAAATTTAAAGTTATTTTGTTTTAATTTATTTTGGGGGGTTTTATTTATTATTTGGGGTTTAGGGGTGGGGATTTTTATGGTGGGGGAGTGGTTTTGAATTATGGGGTGGAGTGGTGGTGGTGTGGTGAGTGGTAGTGGTGAGTGGTGGTGAGTGGTGTTGAGTGGTAGTGGTGAGTGGTAGGGGTGAGTGGTAGTAGTGTTGGTTTTGGGAGTGGTAGTGGTTGGGAGTGGTAGTGGTGGTGGTAGGGGTGGTGGTAGTGGTGAGGGTGGTGGTATTTTGGTATGGTTTGGGAGTGGTGTGGTGAGGGGGAGTGTGAGTGGTGGTGAGTGGTAGTGGTGGTGTGGGTGAGGGGTAGGGGTGAGTGGTAGTGTGGTGGTAGTGGTGGTGGTAGTGGTGAGTGGTAGGGGTGAGTGGTGGGGTTTTGGTTTTGTGTGTTGAGTGGAGTGGTGATGGTGGGGTGAGTGGTAGTGTGAGTGGTAGTGGGAGGGGAAGGGGTGGTGTGGTGTGTGGTAGTGGGATGGTGGGGGTGGTAGTGGTGGTGGTAGTGTGAGTGGTAGTGGTGAGTGTAGGTGAGTGGTATTGGTGGTGGTAGGGTGGTGGTGGTAGTGGGAGTGGTTGTGGTGGTAGTGGTGAGGGTAGGGGTGAATGGTAGTGGTGAGTGGTGGTGAGGGTGGGGAGTGGTGAGGGGTTGTGATGAGTGGGTAGTGGGAGGGGGTTGTGGTGAGTGGTAGTGGTGAGTGGTGGTGATGGTAGTGGTGAGTGGTGGGGTTTTGATGGTAGTGGTGGTGGTGGGGGGTTTGTTTGGTGAGGGGTAGTGGGTGAGTGGTAGTGGGGGTGGTGGGGTAGTGTAGTGGGGTGGTAGTGGTAGTGGTAGGGGATGGTGAGGTTGTGAGTGGTAGTGTGAGTGGTAGTGTGATTGGTAGTGGTGAGGGGGTAGGGGGTGGTGGTTTGTGTTGAGTGGTATGGTGGTGGTAGTGTGAGTGGTGTGGGAGGGGAGTGGTATGGTAGTGGTTTAGTGAGGGGATGGTATTGTGAGTGGTGAGTTAGTGGTGATTTGGTGTGTGGGTGGTAGGGGAGGGGGAAATGGTGTGGGGAGTTTTGGTGAGGGTGGGGGAGGGGTATGGGAGGGGGGTTTAGTGGTGGGGTTGGGGGTTTAGGGGTGAGGGGAGTGGTAGTGGTGAGTGGTATGGGGGTTTTGGTGTGATGTTGGTTTTTAGTGATGAGGGTAGTGGTGAGTGGTTGGGTGGGGGTGGGGGATTTTAGGGTGAGTGGTAGTGGTGAGTGTAGGGGTGGTGGTAGTGGTGGTGGTAGTGGGGAGTGGTAGTGATGAGGGGGTTGGGGTGAGTGGTGAGGGGTTGTGGTAGGGGTGAGTGGTAGTGGTGAGTGGTGTGGTGAGGGGGTAGTGAGAGGGTGGGTAGTGGTGTGTTGGGGGTAGGGGGATGGTGGGGGGTGGTTGAGTGGTAGTGGTGAGTGGTAGTGATGAGGGGTTTGGGGTGGGGTGAGTGGTAGTGTGAGTGGTAGGGGGGGGGTGTGATGAGTGGTAGTGGGGGTGTTTGGTGAGGGTGTGGTAGGGTGGTGTGTGTTGGTAGGGGTGAGTGGTAGTGGTGAGTGGGTTTTTTTTGGAGTGGTAGTGGTGAGGGGTAGGGGGTTGTGTTGGGGTTGTGGTGAGGGGTTTGGGGGTGAGGGTGGTAGTGGTGATGGTAAGTGTGAGGGGTTGGGTGAGGGGTTGGGTGGGGGAGTTGGGGTAGTGGTGGTGGTTGGGATGGTGTGGTAGTGGTGGGGGGGTAGGGGTGGTGGTTGTGATGAGTGGTAGTGGTGAGTGGTGTTTTGGATTTTGGGTAGTGGTAGTGGGAGGGGGTGTGGTAGTGGTGGTGGTAGTGTGAGTGTTTTAGTGTGAGTGGTAGTGGTGAGGGGTTTTGGTGGTGGTGGTGGTAGTGGTAGTGGTGAGTGTTGTGGTGGTGGTAGTGGTAGTGGTGGGAGTGGGGGGCGGGGTGTGGTAGTGGTGAGGGGGTGGTGGGTGGTAGTGGTAGTGTAGTGGTGGTGGTTGTGGTGAGTGGGGGGGAGTGGTAGTGGTGAGTGGTAGTGTGGTGGTGGGGGTTGAGGGTAGTGGGGGAGTGGTAGTGGTGGTGGTGTGGGGTGGTATGGGGTAAGGGGTGGTGAGTGGTAGTGGTGAGTGGTAGTGTGGGGGTGGTAGTGGTGATGGTAGGGGTGGTGGTATGTGGGGGTTTGGTGAGGGGTTGTGGTGGGGGGTTAGGGGTTTGGGGGTGTGGTGATGGTAGGGTGAGTGGTAGGGTGAGGGGTAGTGGTGAGTGGGATTTAGTGGTGAGTGGTTGGGGGTGAGTGGGTTAGGGGTGTGGGGGTTTGGGAGGGGTTTGATGGTAGTGGGGGGGTTGGTGAGTGGTAGTGATGAGTGGTTGTGGTTGAGTGTAGGGGTGAGTGGTAGTGGTGGTGGGGGGTGTGGTGGTGTGGTGTGGTGAGGGGTTTGTGGTGAGTGGTAGTGGTGAGTGGTAGGGGGGGATGAGGGTGGGGTGAGTGGTAGTGGTGGTGGTGTGGGGGGAGTGGGGTGGGTTAGTGGTTGGGGTTGGTAGTGGTGAGGGTAGTGTTGTAGTGGTGTGGTGGTGGTAGTGGTGAGGGGTTGTGGTGGTTGGTTGGGGTGGGTAGTGTGGTGGTTGGGGGGGGAGTGGTGTGGTGGGTGGTGGTAGTGGTGAGGGGTTGGGGTGGGGGTTTGTGGTGATTGTGATTTTAGTGGGGAGTGGTGTGGTGAGTGGTGTGGTGAGTGGTAGGGGTGGGGTAGTGGTGGTGGTAGGGGTGAGTGGTAGTGGTGGTGGTGGTGGTGGAGTGGTGGGGTTGGGGGGTGGGGGTGAGTGGTAGTGGGGAGTGGTAGTGGTGGGGGAGGGGTGTGGGGGTTTGGTAGTGGTGAGTGGTTTGTGGGGGGTGGGGGTAGTGGTGAGGGGTTTGGTTTTTGAGTGGTAGGGGGATGAGTGGTGTGGTGAGTGGTAGTTGTGATTTTGGGGGGGGGGTGGTAGGGGTTGAGGGGTTTGGGGTGTGTGAGTGGAGTGGTAGGGGTTTGGGGGTAGTGGTGGGGAGGGTAGTGGTGAGTGGTAGGGGGTGAGTGGTAGTGGTGAGTTTTAGTGGTGGGGTAGTGGGGTGGTTGGGGTTGGTGGAGTGGTGGTGGTAGTGGTGAGGGGGTGGTAGTGGTTTGGGAGTGGTAGTGGTGAGGGTGTGGTGAGGGGTTTAGTGGTGAGTGGTAGTGGTGGGGGTTTGGTGTGGTGGTAGGGGGAGTGGTATGGTGGTGGTAGTGGTATTTGGGGGTTGTGATGGTGGTGGGGTTTGGTGGTAGTGGGGGGTGGTAGGGGGTGGTGGTTGTGGTGATGGAGTGGTGAGTGGTAGTGGTGAGTGGTGGGGGTAGTGGAGGGGTGAGTGGTAGTGTGATGGTATGGTGGGGGGGTTTGGTGGTGGTAGTGGTGAGTGGTAGTGGGGGGAGTGGTGTGGTGAGTGGTGGGTGAGTGGTAGTGGGTGAGTGGTTGTGGTGATTTTGGTTGGTGGGGGTAGGGGGGTGGTAGTGGTGAGTGGTATGGTGGTGGTAGGGGGAAAGTGGTGGGGAGTGGTGGTGGTGAGTGGTGTGGTGAGTGGTTGGTGAGGGTAGTGGTGAGTGGGTGGTGAGTGGTTGTGGTGAGGGGGGTAGTGGTGAGTGGTGGGGGTTGAGTGGAAAGGGTGAGTGGTAGTGGTGGTGGGGTAGGGGGGTGAGTGGTAGTGGTGGGGGGTGGTGGGGGGAGTGAAATGGTGAGTGGTAGTGGTGAGTGGTGTGGTGAGTGGTGGGTGAGTGGATGTGGTGGTGGGTAGGGGTGTGAGTGGTGGTAGTGGTAGTGGTAGGGGGTTGGGGGTGGGGGGTTGTGGTGAGTGGTAGTGGTGAGTGGTAGTGGGGTGGTAGGGGTGAGTGGTGGTGAGGGGTTTTAGTTTGGGGGAGTGGTAGGGGTGAGTGGTATTTGGGTTGGGGGAGTGGTTGTGGTGAGTGGGGTTTAGTGGTGGGGTGAGTGGTAGTGGTGAGTGGTAGTGGTAAGTGGGGTGGTGTGGGAGTGGTAGTGGGAAGTGGGGGTGGGGAGTGGTAGTGGTGGTGGTGTGGTGAGTGGTGTGGTGAGTGGTAGTGGTTGAGTGGTGGGTTGAGTGGTAGTGGTGATGGTGTGGAGTGGTAGGGTTTGGTGGTGTGGTGGTTGTGGGGGAGTGGTAGTGGTGGGTAGTGGTGAGGGGTGTGGTGAGGGGTAGTGGTGGGGGTTTGTGGTGAGTGTTAGTGGGAGTGGTGGGTGGTGGTGGTAGTGGTGAGGGGTAGTGGTGAGGGGTTTGGGGGAGTGGGGGTGGTGTGGTGATGGTGGTGAGTGGTAGGGTGAGGGTGAGGGGTGGTGTGGTGAGTTGGGTAGTGGTTTTTGAGTGGTGGGAGTGTTTGTGGGTGAGTGGTAGTGGTGAGTGGTAGTGGTGAGTGGTGTGTGATGGTAGTGGTGGTGGTGTGTGAGTGGTAGTGGTGGTGTGGGGGTGAGTGGTGTGGTGAGTGGTGTGGTGGGGGTGTGGTGGTGGTAGTGGTGGGGTGGTGGGGTGGGGGAGTGGTAGTGGTGAGTGGTAGTGGTGAGTGGTAGTGGGGGTTTGGTAGTGGTGATTTGGGTAGGGGGATGGGTAGTGGTAGTGGTGAGTGGTAGTGTGAGTGGTGTGGGTGGTGTGGTGAGGGGTGTGGTGGGTGAGTGGTGTGGTATTTGGTAGTGGGGGTGGGGTAGTGGTGAGGGGTTTAGTGGTGAGTGGTGTGGTGAGTGGTAGTGGGAGTGGTAGTGGTGAGTGGTATGTGAGTGGTAGTGGTGAGGGGAAAGTGGTGAGTGGTAGTGGTGGGGTAGGGGTGAGTGGGTGGTGATTTGGTGTGGTGAGTGGTATGGTGAGTGGTAGTGGGGGTTTGTAGGGGTGAGGGGTAGTGGTGAGTGGTAGTGTGAGTGGTAGGGTGAGTGGTAGGGGTGAGTGGTAGTATGGTGGTGTGGTGGTGGTAGTGGTGAGTGGTAGTGTGGTGGTAGGGGTGAGTGGTAGGGGTAGTGGAGTGGGGTGAGTGGTGGTGAGTGGTAGTGGGGGAGTGGTAGGGGTGAGTGGTTTTTGGTGAGTGGAGTGGTGAGGGGGTAGGGTGAGTTGTGGTGGTGGTGTGGTGAGTGGTGTGGTGAGTGGTGTGTGAGTGGAGTGGTGAGGGGTAGTGGTGGTGGTAGTGGTGAGTGGAAAGTGGTGAGTGGTAGTGGTGAGTGGAGGGGGTTGGACGGGTGTCGTGGTGTGGCGTGCGTAGTTTAAATAGAGTAGTATCAACAAAAGCGTGGTGCCCCTGAAAAAACTTTCCCGTCCAGAAACAACACAGCCAAAAAAAGCAGCAGCAACAAAAAACGCAGCAAAACAACCACAGAAAACAAAAAAGCAGCAGCAAAAAAAACAGCAGCCAAAAAAACACAGCCAAACGCAGCAGCAACAACAAAAGCAGAAACAACAACGCAGCAGCAGCAACAGGAGGTGGAGGATGGGGGGGGAGTGAAAGGAGTGAAGGATGTAGGTGGAGTGCCAGGAAGGGAAAGTTGTCGGGGGAAATTTATGGAGCGAGGTGTATGGGGCGGGAGTGGAGGGTGTGGGGGGGGTGGTGGAGTGGAAGTGTGTGCGTTACTCGGGGGTTTTGGGGTGGGTTGAAACGTAACTTCCTCGTCCAAAACATCCCCTCTGCACACCTACACCAGCGGTCGCTACCAGGTAAAAAGGGTCAGTTAGTACTGTAGAACCCCCCTTTATACTCTTTTTATCTCAGCGTAATAACACCCGAAGTATATATGTTTTCATGTGTATTCAGAGCCCTTATTCCCATTTTGGGGTTAAAGTATTTTTGCCCGGAAAGTGGATGTATAAGAATATGTGTCGATAGTTTAAATCAGTTATCGTTTCTAACTCCCTTTTTCCAGTATTTCCCTCTTTTTTAACCGTCGTTTTATGTTGTAGGACTCTGACCTTTTTTAAAAATTATGATGTTTACTGTTACCCCGGGGTGTTAACCATGATTGTTCAGTAAAGTAAAAACCTTTCGTCCATATTTACTTTCTTTGTATTGGTAAAAATATTCCGTAGTATAAAGAATAAAAAGGACAATCCGGCTCGAAAGTGAAAAAACCCGCAATAGGAGACGTTATGACGGAGTTTCGGACCGATGGTCGAAGTCGGACGGGAAAAATTTTGTAAAAGTTTCTTTCTCTACACTTTTGCATTCATCGTATTGAAGTAATTGTTGGCAAATGTGAATTCTTTAATGGTTTACAGTCACTAGAGAAAGAGAGAGAGAGAGAGAGAGAATGGTTAATTCCCTGTTATTAATAAAAGTGTGATGGTTGGTATGCAGGTCGCAAGGTGAGCATGTCATCGGAGAGAGCCAGTATAGAACAGTTATGGCAGTTCTGCTCACTCAGAACCCAGGGTCTCCGGGTCAACTGTGTCACCTTCTGCAGGACCTCTCCAGTACGTGTACTGCTCTTGTTTTGTCCTTTACGCAGTGGTGTACTGTGTTAAACTAACATATATGTTACTTTTCTTAAAGTAACTAAGAGCTGTTACCTCCCTCAGCTCGTTTAAAAAAATATTATTCATCAAATGGCTATAAGTATATAAAGTATTGATACATTTTATAAATTTCTCTCTCTCCCCTCTCTCTCTCTCCCCCTTCTCTCTCTCTCTCCTCTCCTCTCTCTCTCCTTCTCTTCTCTCTCCCCCTCCCTCTCTCTCTCTCTCCTCATCTCTCTCTCCTCCCCTCTCATGTTGCTAACTCCCCCACTGGAACAATGGCTGTCATTGGTGTACTGGGGTCCCCTAGAATAGAAGTCAATGTTTAATTCTGGCACCAACCCCTTCCTCAACGTCTCCCCCCACTGTGAATTCCATTGAGCTGGAGGAGGAGGGCAAGTTGTCTCTACGACGGTCTGTCTACCCTCCGTCATGGTGGAGGGAAGGAGATTTGTTCGTCAGGAAGCACGCGCGTTCTGACAAGGTCGCAGACCCTTCGTCTCTCAGCGTTGGTCGTACTGTAGTTATACCTTGATATTGTTCCTATTTTCTGAGAAACAACACATCTTTACCAGCTCTTATACCTGTCCATTGATCGTTTATTATTATTATTATTATTATTATTATTATTATTATTATTATTATTATGGGAAATAATAGGTCTATAAGGGTCGTATAAAACCTAGGTAATTGAGAGGTAATCAGGTTTGATCCAGTGAAAGCGAGGGCAGCTTCACTGCCATGGATCATGACCCCTTCATCAGCAGCCCCTCAGACTTGTGTGTTGCCTCGTCAGCTTTTTCTTTTTTAGAGCCGAACGTCGTACTGCTGACAGTGCTCAAGAAGCGTCGCACATGTCAGACGAAGCTCGTACTGAGGCGAAGTTTCGCTCTAAAGCGAAACGTTGTCTCATTAAAAGTTTGCTCGTCGACAAGTGTTTGTTTTTCAAGAGCATTGCCTCACTTGCCGGCGACGGCTTACAGCCTTACAAACCGTGGCCTGAAAGGGAACACTCTCGCTTCTCAGTGTCCGTGGTTCGATCCCCGGCAAGGGTGAAAACACTACGGGTGTTTCTTTACACCTGTTGTCCCCGTTCACCTAAGAAGTAGGTACCTGAGTGTTAGTCGACTAGTGTGGGTTGCATCCTGAGGGACAATATTTAAGGACCCCAATGGAAATAAGACAGTCCTTTGACGCACTGCCTTTCTTAGGTTATCCTGGTTGGCTAACCCTCCTGAGCTAAAAATCCGAGCAAAATCTTATCTTACTCTGTAGAAAGCCCCTTGTTATGCAAAGCATTTCAGGCAAATTAGGTCAGTTTTGTCCCCAGGATGCGACCCACACCAGTCGACTAGCACCCAGGTACCTATCTACTGCTAGATGAACATGGACATCAGGTGTCTTAAGGAAACATGCCCTCATTTTTCAACCGAGGATCCAACCACGGGCCTCATAGTGTGAGGTGAGTGCGCCACCAACCGAGCTACGGGACACCTTATAGTCACACATTTGAGAACAAGCTTTTACTGGGGCGACGCTTCGCTCTGTTAAATTTGTTGTCAGCAGTACGTCATGGCATACAAATTTGTTATTGAAAAATAGTGTAAAATACCGACAACTTGAAGATTAAGACACATGTGCAACAGTTGGGTATCTTTATTGTTGAAACGTTTCGCCTACACAGTAGACTTCTTCAGTCAAATATAGAGGCAGCAGGTGTAATGATGTTAAGAAAATGTAATCGTTCCAGACCATGGAGCTGAACTCTTCTCCAGGCTGAGGGACTGACCACCTCAAATACATTTTCTCCAAGGTTGATAGACTGATTACATCATCTGTATTTAATTACACCCACTGCCTCCGTATTTGATTGAAGAAGCCTACTGTGTAGGCGAAACGTTTCGACAATAAAGATACCCAACTGTTGCACTGTGTCTCACTCTACAACGTTAGTGTTGAGAGCGTAACCCCAGAAAGGTATTCTTCTAGAACTACAGTAGCCTTCATCTGGGTACACTGTATCCGGGACATATATTAATACATAATCGTTCTAATTATTGTTGAGAATTGAGGAACATATAGAGAAACAATTATTAAATTGAATGTGAGTCTTATTGCAGTGTACTTTCACGACTCTCACTCGTGACTGCCTGGAAAAATCAACACAAATGCAGTGTAATGTGATCCTTTGTCGACAACGTTTGGCCCACACAGTTGATGAGCGAAAGTGTCATAATGGGTAGCGAAAGGGGAGAAGTGCCAGAAGACCTAGTTCCGTGGGAACTCGGGACAATGATCGAAGGATTTAAGCAAGCAGCAACGGACGACGAGGACCACACCTGGAATCCCAGGCTGCCCTTCGAGGACGCCCTGGCAAATACAGAGGAACAGTCACAAATAGATTTGATAAATGGTTTAAAACCGACAAGTTGAAGATTGAGACACTTATGCAACATATGGGAATCTTTATTGAAGATGTGTTTCGCCAAACAGTGGCTTCATCAGTCCAATACAAAGCAGAAAGGTGTAAGGAGAGGAGGAGTTTGAGGTAATCAGTCCCTCAGGCTGGAGTCGATGTGTTCAGTCCATCAATCTTGTAGAAAGTACAGCACAGGGCCATAGAAGTGGCTTATATACTGTAGTCAGGTGAGGCGAAGGAGGAGGCGGGGTCATAGTGGAACCATCCACAAGTCTAAGTAAGTCTTCGTCCAATAATTGGACAAGATCTACCTGGGTAAAGAGTACATGAGTATATATAGTGTGGAAAGTTGGATAGAAAATGTTGGGTAGGTTGTATTTGAGATGGATCTTGTAGGTCCGTGTAGGTTGTATTTGAGATGGACCTTGTAGGTCCGTGTAGGTTGCATTTGAGATGAACCTTGTAGGTCCGTGTAGGTTGTATTTGAGATGAACCTTGTAGGTCCGTGTAGGTTGTATTTGAAATGAACCTTGTAGGCTGTTTTTGAGACGGACCTTGTAGGTCCGTGTAGGTTGTATTTGAGATGGACCTTGTAGGTCCGTGTAGGTTGTATTTGAGACAGACTTTGCAGGTTTGTCTCAAATACAACCTACCCAACATTCTCCACCTGACTCTCCACACTATATATACTTATGCACTCTTTACACAGGTAGATCTGTTTGTGACTTGATAAAACCACTGTGTGAGCGAAACGTAGTCAATAAAGGATCACACTGTACTGCATTTGTGTTTATTTTTCCATCGTATCATTATTTTATACCTTTTATCTCCATGCCCGCCATGTGCGCGGTAGTGAAAAGTTACAGTGTTGGTGTTGACAGTGGCTGGTGCTGGCGACGTACGGGCCGCTGGGGTTCACTGGAGACAGCTATGGCTTCTTGGTGGGTTGGAACGTTAAAAGGATCCCTCAGCCAGAACTATGGTGAGTACTTGTCCACGTTGTTGAAAATGGTATAAAATACCGGCAAGCTGAATATTAAGACACATTTGCAACAGTATTTAAGACTCCGTTCTCAGGCTTCAGCTCCATATCATTCCAGACTATGGAGCTGAACTCTTCTCCAGGCTGAGGGACTGACCACTTCAAATACTTTTTCCTCCCTTTGTTGAAAATGGTATAAAATACGGACAAGTTGAAGATTAAGACACATATGCAACATTTTTATTGATGAAACGTTTCGCTTTCACAGTAGGCGTCTTCAGGCAAATACAAAGGGAGCAATAGTAATGAAATAAAGCTGATGTAATTAGTCCATCAACCTTGGAGAAAGAGTATTTAAGGTGGTCAGTCCTTCAGTCTGGAGAAGAGTTCAGCTCCGTTGTCTAGAACGACATAAGATGAAGCATGAGAATGGAGTCTTAAATACCATCGAAGGTGAGGCGGAAGATCTCGAAGACACTGTAGGGGACGGGATCCACTAGTGGAAGTAAGAAGGCGGGTTCATCTGGAATCCAACCCTTCTTACTCATAACTAGTAGATACGCGAAGAAGACTGGAAGATGTCCTCTGTACCAAGATACCGTTTTGCTGCAATGTCGGACAGTATTATACTCTCTGAGGGCTTCTCGCACCCCTTGAGGGGTTCTTATACCCCGTGAGAGGTTCTTGCACCCCGTGAGGGGTTCTTGTACCCCCTGAGAGGTTGTTGTTCCCCCTGAGAGGTTCTTGCACCCCCTGAGGGGTTCTTGTACCCCTGAGAGGTTCTTGCACCCCCTGAGGGGTTCTTGTACCCCTGAGAGGTTCTTGTACCCCTGAGGGGTTCATTTTACTATAGTTTGAAGAGCAGTAAAACTGGTGAAAAACTTAGAGGTTTGGTATCTAACAAAAAGTCTTAACAGGTGTAAGTTAATTTTATTTAAAGACTTATTCTTTCTAAACTTTTTTTTTTGTAAAGTAACATAAGTCTAGTAAGGCTAATAGAACATTTTACTTATTACATTGTTAAATTTTTATTAATCCAAAGAGTAAATGCTGCCTGTTCCTCGTAAACATTCACCCTTCATCCAGACTTCTGTTGTTGATGTTGGTCACAAATATGCCAGTATATCTCCCTCCTTCCCCAAGCTTCCACTGTCAGGACCTGTCAACAACATCCCAGTATGTTAGGTAAGATACATATGCAACAGTTAGGTATCTTTATTTCGAAACGTTTCGCCTACACAGTAGGCTTCTTCAGTCGAATACAGAAAAGTTGATAGAAGCAGAAGACTCTTGAAGACGATGTAATCAGTCCATCACCCTTGAAGTTTTGAGGTGGTCACTCCCTCAGTCTGGAGAAGAGTATTCTTCCATAGTCTGAAACAATATGGAGTTGAAGTGACAGGATGGAGCCTTATATACCGCCAGGAGGTGAGATGTAGGTCACTAGCAGAGGTAAGAATGTAGTCGTTGGGAGGTAAGGTCACTCTCAAATCTAGCCATACTCACTAGTAGAAGTTGTCCAAGTTGATTTCAGGTCTGTTTCGAAATAAAGGTACCTAACTGTTGCATATGTGTCTTACCTAACAACCTGTCGGTATTTTATACCATTTTAATGTTCACATCCCAGTATATCTCCCTCCTTCCACAAGCTTCCACTGTCAGGACCTGTCAACAACATCCCAGTATATCTCCCTCCTTCCCCAAGCTTCCACTGTCAGGACCTGTCAACAACATCCCAGTATATCTCCCTCCTCCCCCAAGCTTCCACTGTCAGGACCTGTCAACAACATCCCAGTATATCTCTCTCCTTCCCCAAGCTTCCACTGTCAGGACCTGTCAACAACATCCCAGTATATCTCCCTCTTTTCCCAAGCTTCCACTGTCAGGACCTGTCAGCAACATCCCAGTATATCTCCCTCCTTCCCCAAGCTTCCACTGTCAGGACCTGTCAACAACATCCCAGTATATCTCCCTCCTTCCCCAAGCTTTCACTACCAGGACCTGTCAACAACATCCCAGTATATCTCCCTCTTTCCCCAAGCTTCCACTGTCAGGACCTGTCAACAACATCCCAGTATATCTCCCTCCTTCCCCAAGCTTCCACTGTCAGGACCTGTCAACAACATCCCAGTATATCTCCTCCTCCCCAAGCTTCCTCTGTCAGGACCTGTCAACAACATCCCAATATATCTCCCTCCTCCCCCAAGCTTCCTCTGTCAGGACCTGTCAACAACATCCCAATATATCTTCCTCCTCCCTCAAGCTTCCACTGTCAGGACCTGTCAACAACATCCCAATATACTTTCCTCCTCCCCCAAGCTTCCACTGTCAGGACCTGTCAACAACATCCCATATTCTTCCTCCTCCCCCAAGCTTCCACTGTCAGGACCTGTCAACAACATCCCAATATATCTTCCTCCTCCCTCAAGCTTCCACTGTCAGGACCTGTCAACAACATCCCAATATATCTTCCTCCTCCCCCAAGCTTCCACTGTCAGGACCTGTCAACAACATCCCAATATATCTTCCTCCTCCCTCAAGCTTCCACTGTCAGGACCTGTCAACAACATCCCAATATATCTTCCTCCTCCCCCAAGCTTCCACTGTCAGGACCTGTCAACAACATCCCAATATATCTTCCTCCTCCCCCAAGCTTCCTCTGTCAGGACCTGTCAACAACATCCCAATATATCTTCCTCCTCCCCCAAGCTTCCACTGTCAGGACCTGTCAACAACATCCCAATATATCTTCCTCCTCCCTCAAGCTTCCACTGTCAGGACCTGTCAACAACATCCCAATATATCTTCCTCCTCCCCCAAGCTTCCACTGTCAGGACCTGTCAACAACATCCCAATATATCTTCCTCCTCCCTCAAGCTTCCTCTGTCAGGACCTGTCAACAACATCCCAATATATCTTCCTCCTCCCCCAAGCTTCCTCTGTCAGGACCTGTCAACAACATCCCAGTATATCTCACTCCTTCCCCAAGCTTCCTCTGTCAATACCTGTCAACAACATCCCAGTATATATCCCTCCTTCCCCAAGCTTCCACTGTCAGGACCTGTCAACAACATCCCAGTATATTTCCCTCCTCCCCCAAGCTTCCTCTGTCAATACCTGTCAACAACATCCCAGTATATATCCCTCCTTCCCCAAGCTTCCACTGTCAGGACCTGTCAACAACATCCCAGTATATCTCACTCCTTCCCCAAGCTTCCACTGTCAGGACCTGTCAACAACATCCCAGTATATCTCACTCCTTCCCCAGGCTTCCACTACCAGGACCAGCTACTGTAGTCAGTTCGTGTCCCTCGGCACCTCAACTCTGTTGTGTGGCTCTCCTTGATGGCACCTTGCATGTGTACCAGCTGGACACCTCCACCCCACAGCTGGTTATGGATACCAGGTATGTGTGACAGCTGGGCACCTCCACCCCACAGCTGGTTATGAGAACCAGGTAAGTTTTCTACCATTATACAGTTGAAGATCAGTGTATGAACTAATACTCTGAAAAGATATTTCAAACACATTGCAATGTTGAGTAAAATTATATTTAAATATTTAGTACAAATTCTACTATATCCACACTCCACCCACTCACACCCTACCACACCCACACTCCACCCACTCAAAACCCTACCACACCACACTCCACCACTCACACCCTACCACAACCACACTCCACCCACTCACACCCTACCACACCCACACTCCACCCACTCACACCCTACCACACCCACACTCCACCCACTCACACCCTACCACACCCACACTCCACCCACTCAAAAACCCTACCACACCCACACCCCCCACCCACTCAACACCCTACCCACCCACACTCCAAACCACTCACACCCTACCACACCCCAACCTCCTCCACTCACACCCTACACACCCACACTCCACCCACTCACACCCTAATCACACCCACACTCCACCCACCACACCCTACCACACTCCACACTCCACCCACTCACACCCTACCACACCCCACACTCCACCCACTCAACACCTACCACACCCACACTCCACCCACTCACACCCTACCACACCCACACTCCACCCACTCACACCCTACCACACCCACACTCCACCCACTCACACCCTACCACACCCATCACTCCACCCACATCACCACACCCTACCACACCCACACTCCACCCACTCACACCCTACCACACCCACACTCCACCCACTCACACCCTACCACACCCACACTCCACCCACTCACACCTACCACACCCACACTCCACCCACTCACACCCTACCACACCCACACTCCACCCACTCACACCCTAACCACACCCACACTCACCCACTCACACCCTACCACACCCACACTCCACCCACTCACACCCTACCACACCCACACTCCACCCACTCACACCCTACCACACCCACACTCCTCCCACTCACACCCTACCACACCCACACTCCACCCACTCACACACCTACCACACCCACACTCCACCCACTCACACCCTACCACACCCCACACTCCTCCCACGCACACTCTGTCACACCCACACTCCACCCACTCACACTCTACCACACCACACTCCACCCACTCACATTACCACACCCACACTCCACCCACTCACACTCTACCACACCCACACTCCACCCACTCACATTACCACACCCACACTACCACCACTCACCACTCTACCACACCCACACTGCACCCACTCACACCCTACCACATCCACACTCCACCCACTCACACCCTACCACAACCCACACTCCACCCACTCACACCTAACCACACCACACTCCTCCCACGCACACTACCACACTCACACTCCACCCACTCACACTCTACCACACCCACACTCCACCCACTCACACTCTACCACAACCCACACTCCACCCACTCACACTCTACCACACCCACACTCACCCACTCACACTACCACACACCACACTCCATCCACTCACACTCTACCACCCCACACATTCCACCCACTCACATTCTACCCACCCACACTCACCCACTCCCATTCTACCACATCCACACTCCACCACGCACACTCTACCACACCCAACACTCCACCCACGCACAATCTACCTCACCACACTCCACCCACGCACACTCTACCACACCCACACTCCACCCACTCCCACTCTACCACACCCACCACTCCCACCCACGCACACTACACACCCACACTCCACCCACTCACCACTCTACCACACCCACACTCCACCCACTCACACTCTACCACACCCACACTCCACCCACTCACACTCTACCACACCCCCACTCCACCCACTCACACTCTACCACACTCCACCCACTCACACTCTACCACACCCACACTCCACCCACTCACACTCTACCACACCCACACTCCACCCACTCACACTCTATCCACACCCACACTCCACCCACTCAACTCTACCATACCCACACTCCACCCACTCACACTCTACCACACCCACACTCCACCCACTCACACTCTTCCACACCCACACTCCACCCACTCACACTCTACTACACCCACACTCCACCCACTCACACTACCACGCTCCACCCACTCACACTACCACACTCCACCCACTCACACTCTACCACACCCACACTCCACCCGCTCACACTGTACCACACCCACACTCCACCCACTCTTACTCTACCAAACTCATACCCCACCATACCCCCCCTCTCTCTCTCTCGGTACACCATACCCATAAATTGTAGCTAACCCTACCACCCTCTACACCATTTATCTATTCCCATAAATGAACCACGGTAACTGATAAGGTAAGTGGGTAGGAGGGTGTTAGTCGACTGGTTTGAGTCGCATCCTGGGGGACAAGACTGAAGGACCTAAATGGAAATAAGACAGACAGTTCCCGAAGACGCACTGACTTTCTTGAGTTATCCTGGGTGGCTAACCCTCCGAGTTAAAAGCTCGATCACTGATGCACTCAGTTCACACACTGAGGTCCGGAGATCGAATCCCCGATACGGCTGGAAAACATTAGGACGTGTTTCCTTAAGACACTTGCTGTCCGTGTTCACCCATCAATACAAAATGGGTACCTGGGTGTTAGTCGACTGGTGTGGGTCGCATCTTGGGACAAAACTAACCTAATTTGCCCGAAAATCTCTGCGTAACAAGCGGCTTTCTATATAGTAGTATGTCATTGATGTCAGTTATTTATTATTATTATTATTATTATTATTATTATTATTATTATTATTATTATTATTATTATTATTATCTTATCCTGTGGCAGCGTGAGTGTGGACAAGCACTGTTGTGCTGTGTGGAGTGTGGAGTGGCGTGACTCCCAGGTAGTCAGCAGTAGCGCCACCAAGAAAACACTTACACCCGCAGGAGATAGACCTCCCTCCTTCAGGAGACTTGTCATCGACATGCAGGTGAGCGGTGTGTAGTGAGTGTTGTGTCTACTCACCTACGTGTGGTTGTAGGGGACGATTCACAGCTACTTGCCCTGCCTCTTCGCTGATCGGTATTAGGTCCACTCTCTTCCTGCTCCAAGAGCTTTATCATACCTCTTCTTAGAGCTGTGTATAAATCATGTGTGTGTGTGTGTGTGTGTGTGTGTGTGAAAAGTATTTACTGACGTCGCTGTGCTCATATATGTTCATCTGATCTCCGTAATCTGCCCCCTTTGTCTCCCACTCTACTCTCTTCATAATCATTTTATCGTTCTCAAACAGGAATAAATAAAATTCAATTTCGTCTGCCATTCATCGCTCATATAAGTTAAGACCAGTATTAGTCTCAGTAATTATGTACATGACGCCCTCCGTACATAGTGCCGCTTCAGAGATTAGTTCTCTCACCACCTGTAACTCATTCTGTGAGTGGCAACTTTAAAAGACAAGCATATCGAGATCACAATGAGTCTTCCTCAGACCTACTTCTGTTTACAAGTAACCATATAATAAGCACTTACAGCAGGGACCACCGACGAGTGGGTCAGAGATCGCCTACGTCCTGGTATCATCATCAGAGGATGGAACAATCAAGGAGTGGATCTTTCTCAAGGGAACCATCCTGTGCTGCACCAGTAAGTCTATTATTATTATTATTATTATTATTATTATTATTATTATTATTATTATTATTATTATTATTATTATTATTATTCAAGGAAAAGGACTGTACTTTTTATAAACAACTAAAGAAGTACGGACGTGGTGAATGTATCGCGATTCATAGACGGAGGATCAAGCCCCCACCACTTTGTGCGGAATGACACAAACACACACGAGCTTACCAGGTCATGAAATACAATCAACTCACTCCGGTGGCCTGGTGGCTAAAGCTTCCGCTTCACACACGGAGGGCTCGGGTTCGATTCCCGGCGGGTGGAAATTCCGACACGTTTCCTTACACCTATTGTCCTGTTCACCTAGCAGCAAATAGGTACCTGGGTGTTAGTCGACTGGTGTGGGTCGCATCCTGGGGGACAAGATTAAGGACCCCAATGGAAATAAGTTAGACAGTCTTCGATGACGCACTGACTTTCTTGGGTTATCCTGGGTGGCTAACCCTCCGGGGTTAAAAATCCGAACGAAATCTTATCTTATCTTAACGAATAATAGATTATAATCCTACAGTTCTGGAGGCGAGAAGTACAGTGCCTGCACTCTGAAGGAGGGGTGAAGATGTTGCAGTTCAGAAATGTCGTCTGAACTACGATGTCAACACATTTCAGACTAGACATCGATAGGTTCACCCTATTTCGGTGAAAGACGACCAGTGTGTTTAAGAAAGCCCTACAATTTTTGATGCTAGTCTTGTTATTAATTATCGAGGTACTCGACAAAGAAAATAATAATTATTAAATATGATTATCATTTATTTTAGAAGTACAAAACCATTTATGCTTGAAAATTTTTTAAACGTTCTTCGCGTGATATAATTTTTGACTGTTCTCAATTCTTATACTTTTCTGTAGCTTTGTTGAATGTTCGTATACCCTTGTGGTTGTCTCTGAGGATCTGTGGAGGATTGGAAACTTTGCTGGGGAGGAGTGGTGACCCTTCTGGAGGAGCAGGTCCTAATAATGTTGGGGGCCTTCCTCTACCCCAGAAAGTCCCAGCCACCTCTATGCATTTCCGACCTGGGGACAAGACCACTTACCTAGTGGGAACCGCTGCTGGGGACGTCCTGCTGGTGAGTGTGAGAGCTATGCTAGGATTATACTATGGCTACCCTAGGGCTATATCAAAACTACTCTGAGGCTACACAAGGACTTCCCTTGGGCTACGCCAGAGATGTCCTGGGATTATATCAGGGCTACCCTAGGGGTTCATTTAGCTGTATCAATACAGAACTACAGACGAGTTACATAGGATCTGAAGTAGATCTGTGTGAAGAATGACTTCAGGATAGACGACTCTAAGAGTCAACACCAGGACTTAATTTTTACAGCAGATTTGTGATACAATTGTCATTCATAACATTTTCCTGACTCTGCCCCAGCACGATGCTGAGAAAGAGAGAGACAGACGGTGGGGGGGGGGGCGTATGCTCGTGTTTCCTACAATAAAATACTCCCTGTTGCCTTTACCACGGAAGATGCCTTGAATCACAACACCCAAAGTTGCCTACGCCTGAACCACTACACCTGGTATTCTCCCCAACAGTGTCGGACGTTCGAGAGAGAGCGTGTGGGAGGCGTGTACGAGGGTCACAGCGCCTTGGTGACCCGCGTGTCTTGGCGTACTACAGGGGAGGATGCCAACTCTATCTTCCTCTCCGCCGCTCTTGACGACTCCATCAGGGTCTGGCACATTGACAAGCCCGTTCCCATCTGCGTCCTTAAACTGGTCGAGGTGAGGCATGTGTTTTGAAGCTGATTGATGTGGGGGTCATGGATGTTGTTGCTGGTAGATTTGAGTATTAGAAGCCCGCGTGTATGGTCAAGGTATTCCGTGCCTTTGAGCCTGTCAAACTGAGTATTATGCGCCTTCATATTTTGTCAGTGCAAATTAAGGTATTATGGGTCCTCGCTCTGTTCGAAATATTCGGTGTTCTCATGCAGTTCGAAGTGAATAGCCTTTGCCCTTAATTTTCGGAGGCAACATATAACCAGAGTAAAATTAAGCCCTTAATTTGAAATGAAAGTTAGACGACGTTTCATTTCAAGTGACCAGTGATAATAACTCAGTCCACAAACAGAAACGTCATCCATTTTTTATATGAAATTTGTGTGTTGTAAATTGTTCAAGCCAATGTATTTAAACTTCTGTTCTTCAACAACCTGCTTAGATTTACTGAATGAACGTCAGAATAGCCTGAACTAGCCTAATTTCTGCCCATTTTCTTTCATGCTGGGAGATACTGATGTATCATAATGCATGAAGATTCACCAGAGTGAACCCTTCAAATCGGGTGTCTTGGTTGAGGCTTTTGATTCTGGGAATTGAAGCTGCCCTTCCATTCCTTTGATCGAGCCAGGTTGTCTTCTGTTCCCAAGCTTTACGTTTCTCTGTAATTGCAATACTACTGATGTCTCATTATTCTGTATGGTAGTCCCTCACACGCGCATAGTTGATGGTGGCAGCGTCCCTTATCCATCACCCCCTCTCATTCAAATCCAAATCCAGCAGACAGTATCAGGCGGGTACCTGGACGCATGCTGGTGTCCCTGGTATGGGAATTTGATTGCAGGCGTGCATGGGGGCGGCCTCCACCTCTGGGACATCTCTCTCTCCACCCACACACCCATCCTCACCCACCAGCACCCAGGGGCCACCTGCGTCGCCTTCAGCCCCCATACCAGGGTAGGTAAAAAAATTCTGCATAGAGCCAAGGTACATAAAATCTTACATAACTCTGTGATACATAATATTCTCCTGCTTAACACCACAGTATGTAAAACCTTTGTGTATAGCTCGAGCGTATATATGACATCTTCTTGCATAACACAAGGGTACGTAACACAAGGCTATATAACTGCAGTTGTTTGTTGAAGCTATTATTGAGCCATAGTACATGGCACCTTAAGGCAGAGCAGAAATACTCTAATTTGAAAAAATAAAGATGTTTTTGAAGAAGAATGTTGTATCTAGGTATAGATTATTATATCGATAACTCAATATATGATAATTTTCCTTTGGCAAAATAAATTACAGTCGATCTCCCAAATGACTTTAATTACAATACATGAGTTACTATCTTATAATATGTCACTTTAATTTAGTTTCAGTTAAATTCACTATATGTGAATTCTTTTCCTTTATAATATCCTTGAACTATAGCTGTGTTATATGATGATATTTGCGATGTTACAGAACGTGGTAGTGGGTGACTCTGATGGACGTCTCAGTGTAATTCACCTTGAAGGGTTGCAGCTCTCAGCTAGCATTTTCCTCAGATACTCTACCAAAATTTCTAAGCTAGCCAAGATTGGCGTCATCCCTGTGGATTGCTCCTCCTGAGGTTAACTTTGGGTCACTGAAACAAGGCTGTAGCGGAGTGAGGTCATCTACAAGTCACTTAAACAAGGCTGTATTGGAGTGAGGTCAACTATAGGTTACTAAAACAAGGTTGTATTGGAGTGAGGTCAACTACAGGTTGCTGAAACATGACTATAGTGAAGGAAGGTTGAATAAGGGGTCACTGAAGCAAGGCCATAATGAAGTGAGATCAACTTCAGATCCCTAAATTAGTCATGGCGGAATCTACAAGTGTCACAACACTGGAATAAGAACTTGTTGGTTATATCGTATGATTGCTTGCACCAAGAGCAATGTAGAATTGCAAATATAGTATCAGTATAATTGTGTAATATTGCCTTTGCAAAATAATTAGAGAAATGTCTTGTTACTTTATATAAACTTCGTTTCATATTCATGACCAAACATTCATCAACAACCATCACTCGAAGATGTCCCGGATTTTCTTCCAATAACTGAGTGTTTAAACTTACTAGACTTTTTAATAAACTGTATATACATTATTTACCTTTTTTTACCCTGCTTGTCAAACTGAAGTGAGGATTTTATGATCGGAAGAATTATTATGGGTCCCTCCCGAGGATGGGAGGGACTCATCCTCGGGATCAGTGTCAGAGAATGAGAGGTAATCAGGCTTGATCCAAGGGAGTAGCTTCAGTTCCTTGAATCAAGAGCTCTTCGTCAGTATCGAGGCACCCTCTTGCAGGGTCATAAACAGGAGTGGGAGTTATGTGAGAGGATTTTAACACAACGTTGATGTTACCAGGATGCTTGACTTGGGACCACGATGCATTTAAAGGAAGGTTGCTTGATGTCGGCAAAGAGCTCTAGATCCAAGGAATGGTCCTATCATCTCTTTACCTGGATCAAACGTAATTATGTTCTATTCCACAGACACGGTATGAACCCTACAAGCTCAGCGTTCCCCCATACTTATGATAACAATAATAATTTCATAAAGGGGAAGAAACAAGGACGGGTGCTGAGTGAGCCAACAATACAACATGTGAAGCTCAGTTAACATGACAGTCATTGAAGGCAAATCAAAGGCCAAGGTAACCTATGTCTTAGTTTATTCAACCAACGTCATAACAAACTTAACAATAGATCCCACAAACGTAGGTACTCATGAAATGATAAAAACCCAAGATAACGCAAAGGACAGAAGTTACTCTTCAATCCTCTCCTATATTATTATTATAATCAGGGGAAGCGCTAAACCCGTAGGATTATACAACGCCTGTTGGGGGGGATGTGGAAGGCATTCAGGCTTAATTCAGGGAACTGGAGCACAGATCCAATTCCCTAGATCAAGAGCCCCTCGCCAGCGTCAAGGAACTTTTCTTGAGAGGAATCCTGGGATAGCCCAGAAAAGTCAAAGTGACTTATTTCCATTGGGGTCCTTAATGGTATATAATGCCAAGAAGTAGATGTGCAGGAGTTGAATATCTTCAGTGTTAGATAGTATAGATACCCAACGTCTTATTCATCCATTACCCATATTAATAGTGTAGTAAGGATGAAGAAATAACTAAAAAGGCATTAAAACTATAATTTTTAAATGCGTGGACCAATATGCCAGTGGAAGGCCTCGGTCAGATGACCAAAAGCTCCAGCTATGGATCATCATATGACTAAGATCCACGTCAGGAAACATTTGTCCTGTTTCCTGACAAGCCTAAATAAATGTGATCATAAATGTCTCTCAGTCTTCCGAGTATATGAATCAATGCTTACAATGTACACTATTTTACACCCACCAGGGTCTTCATGGTTGAAATATGCAGACCAACTTAAATTTTCCGTGTTCCTCTCAATATGGGTTTTCCAAACATCTATTAGGAAATAATAATAATAATAATAATAATAATAATAATAATAATAATAATAATAATAATATCACTAATAACAAATGCACAGTAGTTATGATAACTAATACTAATAACACAATAAATTCTAGGCTAGTAGTGAAATCCGTCCTTTTATAAATAAGAAAGAGCAAACATCCTAACTATCCCCCAGCACAGTTTGTCACTACGTACTTGCAATTTTTTTTTATATATTAACACAAATAATACATATATTTCAAGGCCCGCAGCACACCAGGGCCAGTGGTTAATATTGACGCTATGGCCAGTCAGCGGGGAATATAACATTTTGAACAGCCAGGGAAGGAAAAGAAGGTAGGGCAAGAGAAAGGGGGAAGAGAGATATGTGTAATTAAGTGAGAGAGAAGATGGGGAGATGACGGGAAAGCAAGATGTAATCCACGATGAACCGACTGTATTCAAAGGCGCACCAGTACCATATCTATCGCTGGAGGAGTAAGGTTATGTTGTTTTAAGCTGGGTTAGGTTTGATTTCGTTGAATTAGGTTACGGTGCGTTTCTTACTTTTACACAACATAAAATGATGTTCCTGACGAAACCAACCTAATGGACATTTCTAGGAATAAATTATAGTCAAACTCACACAAGGACCGAATCTCAACAATTATCAAATTATATCATATATTTATTAAAATCATTATAATAATTAACAAAATTACCAATACTGCTTTTATAAAAATGCACAGTATATTATAACGGTAATGAAAAAAAAGATTATATAAGAGAGAGAAAAAGGAGATGTGAGAGAGCAATGAGACAATATATAATAAAGAGAGATTTAATGTTAAATACTATAATTTTACCTTTTTGTTATGAGTTATATATTGAGTGAAGAGAGAGCAATGGGGAGAACATGAATGAATACTCTGAATCATGAAAGTACATTTTAAGGATGAAATGTACGAAATGGAGATTATACAATTTCAACCATATTCTCTCTCATTTCGTGTTGATTTTCGATAAAATGTTGCTATAATTTTGATATAAATGGCCAGTGTGGTGCAGGTAAACAACATTTGAACTTGGCGGTGAAAAAGTTTGTGTACTGTAAGGTGCTGCCGCCTGCTGGTGATATGTGGCGTAACGCGCCGCTCTCCTCATATTTTACCGTTTTTATTGTATCTCTGGCCCTTGCTGGAGATAAAAGCCACCCTGACGCCACAAACGACTATTTAGCTTTCGACTACCGTGCAGTTTGCCGAGTTTTCATGATTATTTTTTTGTAAATTTGGTCAAATATTGACACATCCAACGGTTGAGACCGCAACTCCCAGGATGCATTTCGCTTGATAGTTTTAAACATGGCGGACACCTACAAACTTGGAGACCTAGTTTGGTGAGTTGTATTGGTATTTTGTGGCGTTACTTCGCTATACCTTTGAAAAATGGCGTGGCTGATCTGCCGATAAGGGTTGGATAATGATTTCTGTTTGTCTATTACAGGGCCAAGATGAAGGGTTTCTCTCCGTGGCCGGGTAAGGTGAGTGCTTGACGGGAGTGTGGGTCGCTAAGGTGGCCTCTGTGTCCTCCCCGGTAACACCTCATAGCTCCTCACTGCAGGCTACATGCTTCTCCTGGCCCTACACACACACGCCAGGATTCGTTTCTCGCGTGGAGGAAACATTTGGTGTCCATTAGAGTGGTGTGTGGGAGATGAGTCTTATCTAGGGGGGTACCTTAATGGAAGCATTTAATATTAATTGGTTTTGCTAGGCTCTTCTAGGTTAATTCTAAATGTTTTATCACCTCGGTATGCTTATAATAATCGTGTGTTTAATGCAAACATTGTAGAAATTTAAAACCTATCTGCAACCTTCAGCTCCTAGGTAGTGTGTTTATTTTTCAACACAAAAGAAGTCACGGTTGATTTCTAGGTAGGACTAGACATATGGAGAAGTCTCCTAATATGTGCTACCCCTATCCATCTAGCAGTAAATAGGCACCTGAGTGTTGCATGTGGGTTGCATCCTAGAGATGACTGGAAGGTTTTCATTAAAAATGAATCGTAGCATTTCTTATTGTTTTCTTGGGCTAATAATCATCCAAGGTTAAATAATTACATAGGTATCTTTCCTGTATATTGAGCATAAAACTTTCTTAAACTCAAATTTGTAATAAACAACTGTCAGTGAATAAACAGAAGAGTGGACGAAGGGTGTCAGACTATTAATTTATGGCTAGTTTACCCTTCTGTTTATTCATGAAGTTTCCTTATTGAGGTGGAACTCAAATGTAAATGTTCAGTATTGCAGTAGACACACAGAGGTGGACTATATTAAACTTACCATATAGTCCTTGACATATAAGTACAGGAAATTGCTGTGTTTATTATCAGCTTGGTCTCTTGGTATCAGATGCTGTATAGCTCTTGTGGCTTAGCGCTTCTTTTTGATTATAATAATAATAATTGGTGTCAGATGTCATAGGAAGTAGGATGCTTTGGCTATGTAGGTCTGTCGGCTGCAGAAACAACATTATACTTTATCAGAATTTAAAACCTAGCCTTAACTGGGCTGTGAAAGTATAGTAGTGCTTAAAGCTGGCCGCAGATATGAGCAATTGCAAATTTGTGCATGTCTGTATTAGGCAAAGTTCAGAAGGGTTTTCTACACTATATAATTTAGGGACTCAGTTTTCTTTAAAATATAAAAAAAAATTTATTAAAATTGTTAAATTTGATTATTTTTGTACCAAACTAAGGAAATATTTAGCAAAAGCAAAATAAAAATTTAGCAAGCTAAGCTCTTCCCTATTAATATAACAGTAGTAATGTTAACAATAATAATAATAAATCGCTACTGCAGTTGTATTATTTATTTTAAGAAATCATAGATTGAAATTGCCTCATATTCATGTTGCTTTTTTGCAGGATAATGACCAATGCATGTAGTTGTAATTGTAAGGACTCACAATGATAGATTTTGAGTACAGTGAAGTTGGGGCATCAGAGAAGGAAGTGTTTATCCATATCCAGCTAGTTGAGACCCTTTTACAGGTAGAGGATCAAGGTATTTAGAGTGGCCCACACGAAGTCGTATCAGGATCACATCCAATGCCCAGGTGGGGTGCCACACTCATGCACAGGGCTCGACAAAGGATTGCATGGAACCCATCCCCAAGATGGAGTTCTGACTGAGGGAACAAGACTTGAAAGATGTAGGTTAGGTTAGACTGTAATCTGGCTTTAAGATTAGATTAATGACATGCATAAGGTTGTCAAGGGAATTCGATCATTAATTAAATCAACAGTCGTAATCTACTCCAGGCTCCTTCCCCAACCTTTTCAAATGAGTTTATTTCTTCTCCCATTACCTACTATAGTAAATTACAGATACATATACAGTGTAAAATAATTGTATTTACTTTACTATGAACCGTGTTTTATTTGCATTAAATGCTTATACAGTATTTAAACTGGGTAGTAGATTGATTGGCATCAGCTGCCCAGGGAGGCACTGAAGGAATGCCAGTCTTCCTGGGCATATAAGATAGCAGGTAAATCTTAACAACTTCTACTTACTGTACATTCAGTATAGTATACACTCATCTTCAATTTTCCAAGTTCATTACTAAATATCTTAAGTTTTTATTCACATAATATTTCCTCTGTAATTTAGGAGGCCTGGGCACTATTGACAGTTAACAGATGATTAAAAGAACCTTGATAATAAGTCCCAACCAATCCTCAGAAAATGAGGACATCTGTATTAGGTTTGGCGGTGTGCAAACATCTTGCTCTCACCTGAGCATCAGTGACAAATTTTTCCCATTGTTTCTAGGATGCTTGCCCTAGTCTTATTCTGCCTGCAGGGCACAGTAAAGACTGAGGCACTACTCATCTGCTCTGGTTTTCCTCTCTGCTGGGGCTTAGGCAAGGGGTCCACCTGACCTGATTGAAAACAGTTCACATTTCTGCTTGAAAGGAGAAATTCCTTTTACTTTTCCTTTCTTTTCCTTTTATTGATCATCTTTGGGTAAAACCTCTTCATGGGAGAACGGACACTGAACTGGAGGACTGAGTTGTTTGTTTCACATGTCTGCTTCTTATAATAATTGTATCTTTATTTTTACAAGTACATGTACAAGGTATACAGGCCTAGCTGACATCAATGACAAACTACTATATAGAAAGCTGCTTGTTATGCTGAGCATTTCAGGCAAATTAGGTCAGTTTTGTCCCAGGATGCGACCCACACCAGTCGACTTAACACCCAGGTACCCATTTTACTGATGGGGAACGTAGACAACTGGTGTAAGGTAACACGCCCAATGTTTCTGCCCTCACCGTGTGAGGCGAGAGCTTTAGCCACCAGGCCATGGATGTTATATTTTGCTGGACACAAGTGGAGACAGTTTGTGCATACAAATGTTAAATGTACTGTACTGTCTATGAAATTGGGTTGTTGTCATTCTGTAAAAGAAGACTATTTGGGTTAGTAGCCTCAGAGTTAGTAACTCAGGATAACCCAAGAAAGCTAAGTAGTGTCACTTATTTCCATTGGGATTCTTTAAGGTCCTTCCTTTGGATGTGATCCACAACAGATGACTAACTCTCCTGTACAGTATTTACCACTAGGTAGTGGGCTGTGGGTGTTAGGAGTCTTGTTTGTTTGTTCTTCTTGCCTTGTCTAGGGTTGTGAGCTGAATACACCACCTCTGTAGAGTGTGAGCTTAAGAATTTTTAGAAATGCCCACTCATCATCACTCTCTGATCAGTGTTTGGTGAGTATGTATGTACCTATATATATATATATATATATATATATATACACACACACACATATATATATATATATACATATGTTGTGCCGAATATGTAAAACTGGTCAATTAGCAAGAACTCATTTAAAATTAAGTCCTTTCTAAAATTTTCTCTTATACGTTTAAAGATATATTTTTTCCATTAATGTTAATGTAAAAATTTATAATTTTGCACCAAAAGAATCTTATAAAACTTACCTAACCTTATTATAACAAGTGCAATTTATTTTAGCCTAACCCAACTAAATATATTTTAAATACGTTTACAGTAATTTAATACTAAAGAAACACAATGAAATATATTTTTTTCGTTAGGTTCAGAATGATTTTTGCGAAATTATTGCATACACAAATTTTCGCTTGTCTTATATGGCAAGATGAGCGTTGCTATTTAACCCAAAATTGCAAGATCTGCCTATTCGGCACGTGTGTGTGTGTGTGTGTGTGTGTGTGTGTGTGTGTGTGTGTGTGTGTGTGTGTGTGGTGTGTGTGTGTGTGTGTGTGTGTATGTATGTATGTATGTATGTACTATGTATGTATGCATGCATGCATGCATGTATGCATGCTAAGAAATTAGAGCAAGTGCAAAGGTTTGTGACAAGGTTAGTTCCAGAGCTAAGGGGAATGTCCTACGAAGAAAGGTTAAGGGAAATCGGCCTGACGACACTGGAGGACAAGAGGGTTAGGGAAGACATGAAAACAACATAGAACATACTGTGTGGAATAGACAAGGTGGACAGTGACAAGATGTTCCAGAGAGGGGACACAGAAACAAGGGGTCACTCTTGGAAGTTGAAGACTCAGATGAGTCACAGGGATGTTAGGAAGTATTTCTTCAGTCATAGAGTGGTCAGGAAGTGGAGCAGTCTGGTGAGTTATGTAGTGGAGGCAGGAATCATACATATTTTTAAGACATGGTATGATAAAGCTCATGGAGCAGGGAGAGAGAGGACCTAGTAGCGTTCAGTGAAGAGGTGGGGCCAGGAGCCGAGTCTCGACCCCTGCAACTACAATTAGGTGAGCACGCACGCACATACGCACACACATGCACACACGCACACATACGCGCACACATACGCATACATACGCATACATACGAGCACACATACGCGCACACATACGCACGCACATACGTACACATACATACGCACACACATATGCACACGTGCACACATACGCTCACACATATGCGCACACATACGTGCACACATAGGCACACACATACTTGCACACACACAGGCACACACATAGGCACACACACAGGCACACACACAGGCACACACATAGGCACACGCACACATACACACGCACACGCACACACACACATGCGCACACACACATGCACACACATGCACATACGCACACATGTGCACACATACGCACACATGTGCACACATATGCGCGTGCACACACACACACACACAGAGAGTGAGGGAGTGGTACCTTGACTTGCAAGTTTAATTCGTTCTGTGACCAAGCTCGTAACTCAATTTACTTATATATCAAATAAATTTTCCTCGGTGAAATAATTGAAATGCCATTAATCCGTTCTAGCCACCAAAAAACGCCCCAGGGGCAGGAGAAAATACTTCAGCATAACGCTACTATCAACTCTACGGCTTATTTATCTGTCAGAATTCATCTAATATGACATAAACACTATAAGTAACATAGAAACATAATATATACTCTAAAATGAATTAAATAGGCCATAATATGGCGAGTGTCCAGGACCAGTCCGAGCATATAAAATTATTACTGCTCCTTCCTATAACGTGTTCTTTGGTCCTGGGTAAGAGAAAAATGGAGTTTTTGAGAGGCTAACTGCGCTAGATCACTAGTGCAGCGATATACAGTGGAACCTGCATTTTCATTTTTAATCTGTTCCAGTGTCAGACGAAAACCAAATTCGATGAAAACTGAGGCAATATTTCCCATAAGAAATACAGTGGAACCTCAAATATCGAACTTAATCCGTTCCAAGAGCTAGTTCTAAATTCAAAAAGTCTGAAAATCAAAGCAATATTTCCCATAAGAAATAATGGAAATACAATTAATCCGTTCCAGAAACCCAAAAATATTCACAAAAAAATACATTTTATAGAGATTAATTACAGTATTACATACACACAACAAATACTATAGTGTTCAATTATGTATATAAATATAAAATAAAATTTTTACTTACCTTTATTGATGATGGCATCTGGAAGATAGGGAGGAGGAGAGAGGTAGTTGGGGTTAGTGTTTGAAAGGAGAATCCCCCTCCATGAGGACTTCAGGTAAAGCCCCCTCTGGGGTTACTTCCCTTCTCTGTCTTTTAATGCCACTAAGACCAGCTTGAGAGTCACTGGACCCCTGTCTCACAAAATAACAGTCTACAGTCCTCTGTTTCTGGTGCCTCTTTAACATTTCCCTAAAATGGGACATGGTTCTGTCACTGAACTGGTTCCAGGAGTTTTCTGTACCAGATCGGCATGCAACTTCCTTGCCTTTTCGCAAATAATCGTCTCGGAAACACTATCACCTGCCATCTCTTTATCCTTGATCCACACCAGCAACAACTTCTCAACCTTTCCAACTATTTGTGGTCTTTTTTTGGTTAGCGTATTAACACCTTTTGCAACATCAGCTTCCTTGATTTGTTCTTTCTTTGCCAGGATAGAACCGATGGTCGACTTGTTTTTCCCATACATCCTGGCAAGCTCAGCAAGTCTCACACCACTCTCATACTTCTGTATTATTTCCTTCTTCACATCTATGGCGTTTCTCACTTTCTTTACCACAGGGATACCACTAGCAAGTTTCTTTGGGCCCATGGTAGCTTATTTCACAGTCCCACAAGCACTAAACACAATGAAATAATCATAAAATGTTTGAATGAGAGCGCAGGTTAGTGTTCACTCAAGCATCAACAAAGCCAGACTGGCTCACGGGGCCTGCACGGGGATGCGGACAGAGCGGGCTGGCGGACAGGTCCGGTACCCATCGGTCCGAAAATAGGGGCGCGTTCAATAATAGGGACAAAGTTGGTTCGAAAAAGGGTTTTATTTTTGAAATGTTCGATAAGTGATACGTTCGAAATTTGAGGTTCCACTGTCATGTAAATCCAGTTAATCGTTCCAGACACCCCAAAGTATTGACAAAAAATATATTTTATAGAAAATAAATATAGCTTTACATATAGAAAACAGTGTTAAATATAAATGACTAATTTTAATGATAAATGAACATTTAACATCACACTTACCTTTAATTACCTTGAATTCATCAACGAATTCTTTGGCTGCACGTTTGTTCAAACACGCAGCCTCGCCATACCTGAACACACTGTGTATGTCAGATCGCTTCTTGAATTCTTCGAACCAGCCTCTGCTGGCCTTAAATTCACTAACAGCAGCACTCGTTCCAGACATTTTCTTGACAAGATCTGCATGCAGCTGCCTTGTCTTTTTGCAAATTATTGCCTCCACAGCACTCTCCTGCTAGCTGTTTTTTGTTGATCCACACCAACAACAGCTTCTCAACATCTTCGACTGTTTGTGATCTGTTTTGTTAGCACACTCGCCCCTTTCGCAATATCGGCTTCCTTGATTTCTTTTTTCTTCGCCAGGATGAAACTGATTGTTGATGAGGACTTCCCATACATTCTGGCGAGATCAACCACATGTGCAGCACTCATACTTTTCAACAAGTTCTTTCTTGAATTCTATCATGTTTCTTACCTTTATCAAAGGACTGGCACTCGGAACTTTCTTTGGCCCAAAGGTGGCTTATTTAGCAGTCACACACAATAAACAAGCACAAAAAACAATAGATTATTATGAAATGTTTCATATGAATGCACAGGGTAATGTTCACTCACTGAGAAACAACGCCACACTGGCTCAGAATGCATGCGTGGGAGGCTTTGTGTGCGTGCGGCAGGTGGACACGTTTGGTACAGCAGATGAAATCCAAGGTGAGGAACGAAAACGAAGACAATATTTTGACGAAAAAAGTCCTCAATACCCGAAATCGACAAAAACGGGGGCAGACGAAAACTGAGATTCCACTGTACGAATATCTTGGAAGTAAGTTATTGACTTATTTCATGAAGCCCACCATTTATTATTGAAGTAAATGCAATAATATTGACAGGAATCATAAAAAAATGATTGTTCTACATTTGGCTTGTGGAATATTGGAAACACAGTATTCCAAATATTTTGGGATTTGTGTGGGAGTAAAGGGCAAGATATTTGGCAAATGTCAGAACCTTAGCAACTTTATTTTTTTGTAGAATAACTGAAGATAATTACGTACATGATTACCTCCAGTGAGAACATCACACTAGCATTGTTTTATAAGTACCAAGTCCCAAAACCACCTTTTGTTGTGCTATTTAGGCCAGAGTTCTTGCCAAATGTCATTTCCAGGATTTTTTTTTTTTTTTCAGTAAATTTTTTTTTTCGCTTGTAACTCGGTTTTCGGCTCACAACTCAAAGCAAAAAATCGACCGAACGGCAGCTCGTAACTCGGAAAACTCATAAGTTGGGGCACTCATAAGTCAAGGTACCACTGTATATATATATATTTATTTTTTTTTTTTTTCAACAAGTCGCTTAAATATTTTTGATTATCTGCTATTGATAAGTGATGATGCGCCCGTGTTTGGATAGAATCTGAGTTCCATCTTTCTGCTTCCAACTGTATTGAGTGTCTTGAATAAGGGTTGTCCCAGACATGATTGGAGGGAAGGAGTTGCAGGAGGTTCTAAGTGATAAAGACTTGAGCATCCAACAGACATGTGAGTATGGTGGATCAAAGTGAATTGAGGATTGTTTTTTCAAAGGCACAGTTTATTTCCACATAATACATATTTATACAGCAATGGGTGACACTTGATTACATGCAGAAAGCCTGTGGCTATGCAGAGCATTTGGGATTAGGTGTGCTGTAATAAACACTTGGGCAACAAGTTTTGTTGTGCAATGTCTTTTACCTTCTCCTGATATGCATATATTGTACCAGGTCCTTGTATTCATTTATTGTGCTGCTGGAATGTGAGTGAGGTAACATGAAGGGATTCTGAGGAACTTGAGCCTTGGTGGTGGGAAGTATAATGCTTTGTGTGAGTTACACTTCTGTTTTAAATATTGTAATAGCTGGGTACTGAATATATCTTATGTAAGGCCCTTGCTGCTGTCATTCTTCTGTGTTTATTGGGCATATGGTGCCAATGCTGTTCAGGTTGTGTGTTTTTGGAGGACAGGTTTGGTTTGATGGTAATACCAGGTCTGATTTGATTTTGAGATATATACTTCTGTGGTACATTTTATTTGGCCTCTTCGCACACTCTCCTATTTCCTTTATAGTTTTCGGTTACACTATTGAGGTTGAATTTGAGCAGCCACTTTCTGACCATTTTTGTAGCCAGTCCAAGTTGTTTTGTAACTTTTGTCTGTTTTCATATGTTAATTTAATTCTCACTTAATGTTAACATGTACATGTTTTGTATGTTATGCAATTTATTGTGAAATTAATTCTCATCATTTTAGAATAAGTGCTCAGTTTATTTTTTTCTTTTTTTTTTGTAGGTCATACCTGCAAGGGATAATGTTAAGAAGCCTAGCAAGAAACACTGCCATTTTATATACTTCTTTGGCAGTGAAAACTAGTAAGTGTTGTTATAACAGTACTTTATTTGTCCATGCATAGTAAAAAGAAATTACCAATGCCTGCAATCTTGTTAAAGTTAATAAAGGAGATGCAGTCCATTTACCCTTATCCTATACATCAGCTGTCATTACTCAGAAATTACTGTATATCTGCTCTCACCCTGACTTACGAATGCTTGGCTACTAATATTGAAGTACCATTTGCTGCTTGTAATATTTAGTGCCTTTTATTTAATGTTAACTCTTTGACTGTTTTGGTCGTATATATACGTCTTACGAGCCACCGTTTTTGACGTATATATACTCGTAAATTCTAGCGGCTTCAAATCAAGCAGGAGAAAGCTGGTAGGCCCACATGTGAGAGAATGGGTCTGTGTGATCAGTGTGCACCATATAAAAAAAATTCTGCATCACGCAGTGCATAATGAGAAAAAAAAACTCCGACCATTTTTTTTTTTGTAATTAAAATGCCGACTTAGTGGTCTATTTTCGTATAGTATTTATGGTTGTATTCTCATTTTCTTGGTCTCATTTGATAGAATGGAAAACATATAGAAATAAAGGTGATTTTGATTGGTTTTATTATGAAAAGAACCTTAAAATAGAGCTCAAAGTAGGGGAAATGTTTGATTTTTGCCGATGTTCAAAAGTAAAGAAATGATGTCATTTTCCAATAAATGTCCAGGTGGCCATTCTGATATGCAATCATGAATGAGTTGACATTATTTATACAATTATTACAATATTGCAATAGTCTGCATAACAGTAAATCTATTTTTTGTTTGAATAAAAATTCAAAATAGAAAGCAAGAGCAATATCAGAGGGGCCTGGAGACGTGACTGATGAACAAAGAAAATGTTATTTTAGAGTCAGGAATACCTGCATTGTTCATTCTGGACCCTATTTTGAAAATGTCTCATTTTTTAATTTTCATGAAATTGGCCAAATTGCAAATTTCTGACCACGTTATTGGGCAGTTGAAATCAGTAAATGGGCAGTTTCTTGTACTCAGTCGATAGAAAAAAAGGAGTTCTAAAGAAATAGCTATGAGTTTGGTCAACTGGAACAATGGAATTAACTGAAAATAGGGCTCCGAGTGGGCGAAATCGCCGATTCGTAAATGTCACCGAGGTCGCTAACTTCACGAGAGTGTAATTCCTTCAGTTTTCCATCAAATTTAGTTCTTTTGGTGTCATTACAACCGGGAAGAGATTCTCTATCATTTCATAATTTCTTTTTGGGGGGGGGGGATTTTGCGACACCAGGAGACACCTCAGGATTTGGGGCTGCGACAGTCAAGGAGTTAAATAACTAATTTGAGCAATTGTACTATTGTAAAAATTTCAGTCTTGTATAATGCTGTATATTCTTTTTGAATTTTATTTATCCTGTTAGGGGGAACATCTAGATGTACTGTTTTGTAAGAAGCTCTGGGGGATTGTACACTTGGGTGTGAATAGGTGCATAAAATATTCAGATTTTACATTTTATCATCCCCCATTACCATGTTTTCTGAGGAAAAAAAAAAAGGAATATAAATGTGTACCCAAATGCTTATAAATCTCCTGAGAGTTTGGCAAACCATTGGCATGAGATCACACAGTGTACTGTTTTTCCCTTGTTGATTCCCTTATCCATGTAGATTTAATTAGTCAGTTCATTCATGCTTCTCACACATTGGGAAGAGTTGAGAGATTTTTGTGTTAACATTGTAATATGATGACTAAATTTGTCTTCCAGGTAAGATAATTGAAAGAATTAATCAGTAACAATTTGTATTAGTTGCTCATACATAAACAAGACATTTAGAATAAGGTAAATATTATTAAAAGTACAGGCATCCTTTTCTGTGTGGTGTGCGTGTTCTTGGCCCTTGTCAGGTTTACAAAGCTGTCAGGCCATGAACGTAAAATTTTGCATAAGATTTTCCTACACATTTGAGAGCCTCCCTGACTGCATACCATACTGCAAATATATATTGGTCATATGAAATTATAAATGCAAGTGAGACAGCACAGCAAATTCATGTAAAAAGAACCCTCACAAAGCGAGGGGGGAAGCTTGTACTATAAAATTTTACATGGCTAGTGAAGTTATCAAGTATTTTTTTTTATCCTTCTAGTGCATGGATTGAATCTGCCAACATGAAGCCATATTTCCAGTACAAAGGGCGTCTAATGAATGCCAACAAAACTTCAACATTTAAAGAGGCTGTTGATTGCATTGAAAAATATATTGGAGAAAATAATATTTTGGTAAGTACTTCAGTATTGATGCTTTTGTGCTAGTGATTTAATCTTCTATTATTATTATTATTATTATTATTATTATTTTTTTTTTTTTTTTTTTGTTCATTCATGTATGCTCCTTCTCACAGACTGTATGAGTTATGGTTTGGTTAAAATGCTATGAAATGCAAGCTTTAGTTATGAATGGATTATTAAACAAAAAATTGGATGACATTTTCTTCAGCAAGCACTTGTTAGTAACATTTTTTCACCATTGTAGCTAAGTTGCACATGAACATCAAGAAGTCATGACTCAATAGAGACTGTTTACCTACAAAAATGATGCTTTTAGAGAGAGTAAGGAAAAGGGTGAACAAGAGAATAAAAGGGTAGGTGGGTGTGTCAGTACGAAAGTAAGTGGGAGCTCTGTTAGGAGAATAAAGGTACTGAAGAAGTGAGGGATGTTCTGAAGGAAGCTTTGTTTGTGCTCACCTATGTGTAGTTGAAGGGTTAAGTCACAGCTTCAGGCCCTGCCTCTTCACTGGTCACTAGGTTCACTCTCTCTCCGGGCTCCAAGAGCCTTGTTGTACCTCTTCTTAAAGCTATATATGGATTCTGCCTCTACTACTGCACTTTCCAGATTGTTCCACTCCCTGACAACCCTAAGGCTGAAAAAATACTTTCTAACATCCCTATGACTCATCTGAGTTTTCAGTATCCAGTTGTGCCCTCTTATTACTGTATCCCATCTCTGTTCACCTTGTCAGTTCCTCTCACTATCTATCCCTCCTATTTTCCATTGTCATCAGGTTAAGTTCCCATACCCTCTTTACATAGGACGTACCTTTTAGCTACAGGACTCTGTGCTTTCTCTAATTTCTTGATATACCTGACCAGGTATGGGTTCTATACTTGATTCAGATAAGCTGTGAGTGGTAAATTATGGCCTAGATATGAGAGAATGGGTCTGTGGTGAGTGTACACCATATAAAAAAAAATATCCTGTCCCACGCAGTGCATGACTGGGAAAAAAACTGTGACCCTGTGTATGGTTTAAAGTGATGAGTTTGTGGTGTATTTTCGAATAGTTTTTATGGTTTTATTCTCAGTTTCTTGATTTCATTTGATAGAATGGAAAATATATTACAAATATGGAGACGATTTTGATTGGTTTTAGGACTGGAAATAGCTTGAAATTGAGCTCAAAGTAGTGGGTATATTCGATTTTTGCCAATATTCCAGATTACACAAATCACGTCACACGTCCAATATGTGTCCAACTGGTCAGTCTAATACGCGTTCGCAAATGCGCTGACGTTATTCATACAATTATTACAATATTGAAGTAGTCTGCATAACAGTAAATCTATTGTTTTTTTGTGTGAATAAAAATTTAAAATGGAAACCATGTGTAATATAGGAGAGGCCTGGGGATGCAACTAATGAACAGAGGAAATATTTTATTGCCAGAAACATTTGCATTGTTTATTCTGGACACTATTTTTAAATTGCTTTTTTTTTTTTAATTTTGTGTGAAATTGGCCAAATTACTGATTTCTAATTACTTTATTGGGTAGCTGAAATAGTTAAATGGGCTGTTTCTTCTTCCCGGTCAATAGAATGGAAGACATATTAGTGAAATATATAAGAGTTTGGTTGACTGGAATAATGGAATTGGCCTAAAATAGGACCCAAAGTGGGGAAAATTGCCTGTGCATAAATATTGCCAAGACCTCAAACTTTGTGAAAGCGTAATTCCGTAAGTTTTCCATCAAATTTCACACTTTTGGTGTCATTACCTTTGGAAAATAATTCTCTATTGTTTCCTAAGATATTTTTTGGAGGGGGGATATTCTTGAACCCTGTGGACAAGTTTCAGATCGGGAGTCTGGACTCTCAAAGGGTTAAACCATGCACATGGCCAGAGTTCAATCATTCAACAATCGGTACTACCCTGTAGAGTGCACAGAAATTGGTAATTTGTCTAGTTTTACACAAAAGGCCTCTCCTATATTACACATGCTCTCCATCTTGAATTCATCATTAAAAAAATATAAAGGTTTTACCTTATTTCTTCGATAATAAAATACATATAGGAATAATTGGTCATGGTTCAGTGTATCCCAATAATTGAAGGAGACCTAGAAAAAACAATTGAACAGACTAGGGGTGAAGGGGATTCAGGAAAATCTTCAAAAATCAAATATTTCCGCTACTTTGAGCTTGATTTCTAGCTGCTTCTGGTCTGGAACCAACCAAAGTCATCCCTGTTTCAGTAGTATATTTCATTCTATCAAATGATACCAGGAAGCAGTCAGTAGAACCACAGAAAAACACCTCAAAATCACTGTAAAGAACAAAGACACCATACTAACTGGAACAGTATGCAAATATCCCACACATACGAGAGGCAAGTGTGACTGTAAATGGTCCAAGTCGGACCAAAACATCATTGTAAGCTCCTCCTCTCCTGTGTGTGGGTTATTTGCATATCTAAAGTCACTATTTTAAACCAAACACAAAATCTGAGGATTGCTTTTTCCATCATGTACCACATGGGGCAGGATTTTGTTTTTTTATTGGTCAACCCATTCTCTCATATCTAGGTCAGAATTTACCACTCGCAGCTCATCTGTGGGAGCTGAGCTCAAAATGCAGATCTTCATGAGCAACACTGGCAGTAAAAACATAGAGCTGTCTTATGAAACAGTGAACAGGTTAAACTGTTAATGATGTAGATCTGCTGTCACACAGTAAAATGCGATGTATGCAGTAGATGTAACTTGTGGTAATATTTTTCACTGGCACATTTTGAATGTAGTGAGATATATTTTGTGGTTGACAAGTGTCAAGGGTCCCCATTGCTAAAAAAAAAACATTCAGTAAAAAAAAAAAAAATTGCACAAGTTTTGCATGCCTCGCCAAGCTGTTGCCCTTCTTTCACGTTATTCACAATAAGGGGCAAATGAACAGTTTTAGGTGAGGAAGAAGAAAAAAGCTATTCTAGTTGCTCAAGAGTATTTTGAAGGATATTCAAAATGGGGTACATACTATATTTGGATCAGCTAAGCATTACTAATTTAAGCTCAAATACATTTTAAATTAATTGGGAATCTGTAAAACGAAAAAGTAGAAAAATAATTTTTGTAATAAAATAAAAAAAAACATAATATGCATAATTTCCATGGTAGTCATATAGTCATTTCTTCATGCAAATTTTATTGAAAGTAAATAATAGTATTCAGATTTTATTTTGAAAGCTTCAGGGAAATAGACCAAAAAATAACACATTTCATTGTGGCAACTTCAACATCTCTTTCGCAGTTTTATGCATCTTATTCAACTTCAACATCTCTTTCGCAGTTTTATGCATCTTATTCAACTTCAACATCTCTTTCGCAGTTTTATGCATCTTATTCAACTTCGACATCTCTTTTCCAGTCTTATTCAAATTGTTCAATTGAAGTGTAACTTGATACAGCACACCAAATTGATAGGATGTTGAGAGGCTCTTTGTCATAAAAAAATTTAATAAAAAAGCACAAATTTTATATACAATTAAAAAAATAAAGTACAAATGTAAGAGAGAATGGAGGAAATGCAGTATCATAAAGAATAATGATTAACGCATAATAAGTAGTTAATGAAAATGATCACGATGGGGCAGTATCATGAATTCTGTGGAGTGAGTCATGGTATGTCTGCCTCTGCCAGTGTGCTGTTTTTTACTTTTGTATTGTTCCTACTTATTAACATCCAAAAATGAAAGGAAAAATCAAAAGAAATGTACATAAAATGTAGCGTTTGTAGTCTTAGCTATCATAACTATTGTCATAATTGACCAGAAAATTACTTAGGAGAAGTCTAATTTAATAACAACGACAATGTTATATTGTCATCATTTAAGACTAATTTCTGTTTACACTTCCCAAGATTTTTTTTTTTTTTTTTTTTTTTTTTTCCAATAATTTTGATTTTTGATATTAGGGTCCCTTATATTTACCAACCCATCCATTGCTTAGTTTTTAACCCTTTCAGGGTCGAGAGGCCCTCTCCTAAACTTGTTCTCAGGGTCTAAAATTTTTCAGGAAAAAAAAAAATTATTTTTTCTTATGAATCTATGACACTTTTCCCAATCATAATGACACCAAAAGTATGAAATTTGATGGAAAACTTACAGAATTATGCTCTCGCGAAGTTAGCGATCTTGACAGTGTTTATGCATCGGCGATTTCGCCCACTTTGAGCCCTATTTTCGGACAATTCTGGTGTACTAGGCGACAAAAATCATAACTATTTCACTAGAACTTCATTTTGTCTATCGAATGAGAACAAGAAACCACCCATTTACCGATTTCAACTATCCAGTAAAATGGTCAGAAATTAGCAATTTTGCCAATTTCACACAAATTTCAGAAGATGTCAATTTCCAAATAGGGTCCAGAATAAACAAGACAGACATTCCTGGCACTAAAATAACATTTCCTCTGTTCTTTAGTCACGTCCCCAGGCCCCTCTTACATTTCTTTTGCTTTCCACTTTGAATTTTTATTCTCACAAAAAATAGAAGATTTACTGTTATGCAGACTACTGCATTAGTGTAGAAATGGTATAAATAATATCAGCACACTTGTGAAAGAATATTAGACTCGCCAGTTGATGTGTATTGGACGCGTGGCGTGATTTGTTTACTTTTGAACTTTGGCAAAAATCGAACGTTTCTGCTACTTTGAGCTGAATTTCAAGGTACTTATCATTGTGAGACCAGTCAAAGTCATCTCAATTTCAGTAATATGTCTTCCATTCTATAAAATGAGACCAGGAAAACTAGAATACAACCATAAATACCATACGAAAATACAGTGCAAAGTCTCTGTTTTAAACCAAAAACATGGTCCAAGTTTTTTTTTTTTCTCATTACGTACTGTGCTGCAGGATTTTTTTTATACTGTGCACACTGACCACATAGACCCATTCTTTCATATGTAGGCCTACCAGCTTTTTCTCGCTAGATTTGAAGGCGCTAGAATTTAGGCGTGCTAGTATGTCAATAATCCTGGTGCGTACACCATACTAGTACATCGGAAACCTCGAAAAGGTTAATCTTTACACCGTCATATCCCCCATCATGTAAAGTGCTGACACTGGTGTGATTTAAAAAAAAAACTGAAATGGTAGAGAATCTTTTTCTGAAAGTAATGATACCAGAAATGCAAAATTTGATTGAAAACTTATGGAATTACACAGGCATGAAGTTGGAGGTTGGGAGCACTTTATGCTATTTCACTTGTGTGCCTTCCCTTCTATCAGTTGAATATACAAAACTACTCATTCAACTATCAGAGCTACCTTATAAAGCACCCATAAATCAGTAATTTGGCCAATTTTACACAAAATCAACAAATTTCAGTTTAAAAAGTAACGAAAATAAACACTGTAGGCATTCTTGCAAGTAATCCAACATTTCCTCTGTTCACTAATCACATCCCTGGGCCTCTCCAATATAACACTTTCCCTCCTTTTTGAATCCATCATCATAACAGAAAAATTAAGATTTATCCATTTTCTCTGCCAATAATGATTGGTAATGGTTTAGACCATCAAATAACTGAAACAGACCTAGCAAAAACAGAAAACAGGCCTGGGGGAGCCCCCTACTCTTCCTCAGGAAAATTGCCAAAAATCAAATATTTCCACTACATGGATGCCACTTCTGGTCTGAAACTGACTAAAATCATCTCCATTTCACTAGTAGGTCTTCCAGTCTGTCATTCATCACCAAGGAACACCTCAAAGTCGCTACTTTAACCCAAGCACGAGGTTAGAGGTTCACTGTTCCCATTATGCACTTAATCAGCTGGATTTTGTTTCTGTAGTGTGCACACCCATTACCCAGACCCATTCTCTCATGTCTAGGTCAAAATTTACCAATCATAGTATATTTGAGGGCACTATGATTAACCCTTTGACTGTTGCATGCCCCTTTCTGAAACTGTCATTCTATGTCGCAAAATTTTGGGGAAAAAAAAAAATTGTTCACACGAAATGATAGAGAATCTTTTCCTGATGGTAATGACACCAAAAGTACGAAATTTGGTTGAAAACTCACGGAATTACGCTCCTGCGAAGTTAGCGGTCTCGGCGACATATACGCATCGACAATTTCGCTGACTTTGAGCCCTGTTTTTGGCCAATTCCGTTGTTTCAGTTGACCAAACTCATAGCTATTTCTTTAGAACTCCATTTTTTTCTATCAGTTGAGTACAAGAAACTGCCCATTTACTGATTTGAACTACCCAATAAAGTGGTCAGAAATTGGCAATTTGGCCAATTTCACACAAATTAAAAAAGATGCCAATTTCAAAATAGGGTCCAGAATAAACAATGTAGACATTCTTGGCACTAAAATAACATATCCTCTGTTCATTAGTCATGTCTCTAGGCCCCTCTTATATTACTATTGCTTTCTATTTTGATTTTTTATTTATACAAAAAATACAAAATTCAATGTTATACAGACTACTGCATTATTGTAAAAATCATGTAAATAATATCAGTGCACAAGTGAAAGAATATTAGACTCCCCAGTTGATGTGTATTGGACATGTGGTGTGATTTGCTTACTCTTGAACATAGGTAAAAATCGAACATTAGTTTCATCGTGAAACTAATCAAAATCATCTCTATTTCTGCAATATGTTTTCCATTTTATCACGCGAGACCATGAAAACGAGAATACAACAGTGATAAATACTATATGAAAATACACCTCAAAGTCGGCATTGTAATTTAAAAAAACGTTTTTTTTTTTCTCATTATGCACTGTGTGCTGCAGGATATTTTTTATGTGGTGCACACTGACCACACAGACCCATTCTCTGACATGTGGGCCTACCAGCTTTCTCCTGCTTGACTTGAAGCCGCTAGAATTATTGAGTATATATACGTGAGCAAAGTAACATTTATGAAGGGATTCAGGGAAGCCGGCACGCCGGACTTGAGTCCTGGAGATGGGAAGTACAGTGCCTGCACTCTGAAGGAGGGGTGTTAATGTTGCAGTTTAAAAACTGTAGTGTAAAGCACCCTTCTGACAAGACAGTGATGGAGTGAATGATGGTGAAAGTTTTTCTTTTTCGGGCCACTCTGCCTTGGTGGGAATCGGCCAGTGTGTTAATAAAAAACAAATATATGTCTGAAACACTGGCTCGTAAGACGTATATAAACGACCAAAACAGTCAAAGGGTTAAGACTTGAATCTATGTAAGTAACACTGGCCACAGTGACATAAAGTTATGTGAGAAACAGTGAAAGGGTTAAATCACTTACACATATGGGAAAAGTTAGTCTCTCAACTGCACTCATTTCAAAGTTGGGGTGAGGGGGGAGAAGTACCTTGATACTGGTGTAAGACTCTTGATC